CCCTTTTTTTGAAGACTATGTTGAGATCCATCTTTAAATTTTATGACTTCATCCTCCCCCACAAAATAATGTTGGGTCCTCGTATTCCCAAGTTACAGTCAGTTTGACTATATTTAAAGCATATTTCTGGCATTGAGTAGAGAGTCCACTAGAACTGACTAGATGGTGAGGATCAGCGATACTAGATATGAGGTCATTAAGGTTTGATTCTTGTGAAACATTTTCATCAGATCTCTGGAAAATTTCATTAGTAGATAATCGATCACTAGAATACTCACCATCTACCAAAGTTTTATTAGGTTCTTGATCATCGTTTGATGCATCCGACAAATTTTCCTCATTGTCGTAAGGAATTTGATCAAAAGCATGTGAGTCATTAAGATAAATCATATCCGGTAAAACAACTACAGAACCCCAGTAAGTATATTCATCAGAAACTTTTGTCGTAGAATGATGAACTCCATTTAATGCAAATGTACTCATTATAATGCTTGATTCATTTTCTGTTTTTTTGTGGGCGGATACTGCAATAATTTCATGAGCATTTAATAAGACATCGTCTTTCTGTGAGCTGGACAATCCAGTGTTTGTACATGGTGTTTCAATGACAATGGGATATGAACCCACGACAGGGCATGTCTCTGAAATAGACATTTCTGGATCACTGGGCATATCACGAATGATTGCTACTAATTCATTTACATTATCGCTTATCAAGGATTCACGGAGGGTTTCATCTACAGTTCATACGTTCTGCAGTCATTTTCTAGCTCTGTATGCAAATTAGAAATTAATTTATCAACTTCTGTCACATCTCCAAAAAATGGATGATTTAGCAGCCGTGTGCGTAAATTGTCTAAAACATTCAACTGGTTCATTTTGAAACGCTGCTGTTGTCTCTCGAATAGCAACTGTAATTGATCGGAAGAGATAGCCATCTTCTGAATCAGCACGGTAATGAAAAATACTGTATGACTAATTAACAATCAATGTCGTTGCAGGACATTGGCGAAAATTTTGTATGCTGATTGTTCGAAATAATTATACTGAATTTTGTCCAACTGCAGGCTGACCTTGAGTCGTTAATTTGAAGATTGAAGGTTCAGACTTTTTTTTCACCCCGTTGCCAATTGTTATAGTTTGTCGCTCAAATAGCAACTGTCCCTTGTTCCGAGTATAAGTAATAGGCGTTTCCGACATAACAATCAGCGACGACCAGATACAAAAGGTAGCATTAAAAGAGCCAAGACAATAAACATTCAAACAAAAAGTTATAACAGAGTATCTTGTATAGACAACCGTTTAGAAATACTTGTGCATTTTTGATGATGGTTGTATTAGTTCTCTCAGTTTCAGCATCATATAAAAGAACTACCTTGACGTTTGTGTTGAAGATCCTGACTTTGACATTGGTTGGAAGTTGTTTTGAGTCCCATTTGTTGTCCTTTATTTGCCAGTCGTTGCCTTTACGTCCTCATCGATAGTGCTTCCCAGGTAGGTGGAGGACTCCACATCCTCAAGAGTTTCGCCATCAAGTGTGATTGGGTTGGTGTTCTCCGTATTGCGCTTGAGGATCTTACTTTTCCCTTGTGTATGTTGAGGTCTACTGATGTAGAGGCTGCTGCTATACTAACTGTCTTCATCTGCATTTGTTCATGTGTATGGGATGAAAGAGCCAAGTCATCTTCAAAGTCCAAATCTTCTGGTTGCATCCAAACTGTCCAGTGTATTCCATGTTACCGCTCGGATATCGAGGTCTTCATAATCCGATCAACCATCAGAAGAAAGAGGAAGGGGGATGTAAGATCCAAACTACGGTTCGGATAGATGAATAGCCGTCCAGGTACGTTAGACACGCGTCCTTTCCCGTCGAAATCAAAACAAGTAATCGGGTAAATAGCGGTCCTATAATTCATCATAAATTCGAATGTAAATCGTTACCTAAACAAATATTACCACCCGGCTATTCAACCAACAATTGTTCAATCAATAAAATCTAAATTACAATAAATAAAGGAGTTGATAAAAGATGAGGGAAAATTACCAGTCACAACAAATGAACGTTATTCTATCCTGATTGGATAGAACACACACACAAAGGGAGGGGCAAATCAATATGGCTGCCGCCAAGAACAAGTGTCAAGTAAAACAACACAGATGCAGTTCGGGAAGAAACACGAAAATTTAGTGAAGGCGTAAGGAAAATAAAAACTGATAAAAAAATACAAATAATAACAATTCAAATGTAATCAAAAGACTAACAATGTACAACTAAGGGAATCAATAGGAACAAAGTGGCATTTATTCCCCCTCCTAAATCTTCTTGAATGGAACGTGAAGCATGTCTACAGTTACTTCAATATCTGACTTCAGTGTTTCAGATGGTATGTTGTCTAATGTTGCTGCTTTCCCACCGTTGATTTGTCTAATGGCCATCCTGATTTCTTCGATCGTTAGTTGATTGACATCTATAGAAAAGTTTGTATGTGCTGCTTCGATGTCCGATGGATTCAATGGATCTGGTCTATTCAACATTTCTTCAAAGTGTTCTACTAATCTCTTCCTCTGTACCTGAATCGGAGTGTTGAGTTTGTCAACATGTCGAAAGAAGTCTGTTTTGGACCCATGAATTGCTGTCCACCCAGTTGTTCATCGCCTCTTGAGTTTCGGTTTCATCTTGACAACAACCAGGTGGTGATCTTAATCTGTCATCTCCTCCCCTAGTTCTCACATCTTCCGTTGACCTGAATTTTTCATGGATGCAAGTGTGATCTATCTGGTCCTCCATGGTGTGGTCCAGTGAGACCCATGTAGTTTGTGTATGCGTTTGTGTGGGAATATTGTACCGTCTATAACCAATTTGTTGAATGCTCATAGGTTCGCAAATGTCTCCCTGTTTCCGTTCCGCTCTCCCAGTCCATGTCATCCCATGATATCTTCATATCCGGTGTTGTCCATTCCGACTTTGGCGTTTAGGTCTCCCATCAGGATGGTCAGGTTCTTTCCTGAGCACATTGTTCAGACGTTGCATTTATCTATAAAAATTGCTGCTTTCGTTGTTAAAAGGAGCATCGGCCGTGTGACTTTCGAAGAATCTCGGCTTTCATCATGAGGTATCATAATTCCTAATTTATTCCGAATAGCACTTTTTTGGCATAGTTGTTTTCTACGTTATGGGGTTGCTGACCCCATGCCCAACCTTTTTCCTTGAGCCCAGCAGTGGCCCTAGAAGAGCTACAGGCGGTGTTAATCAACTGATATTCACAGCGGTAAAAAAATGAAATATGGATGGATTAAATGGGCACAACTGGACTTAAGTTGTAATAGATAACACCAAAATTATATTAGATAGTATCCATATTGATGCTGGTTCTAGAATCATCATCATTTTTACCAGGATAGAAATAACACTAGAAATATGATATCCATGAACTTTATTATTATAAAATAAATCCATGATTGGATTAAACACATCCACATGTGTTGTATTCGAATGAGTCCGCAGTCAAGGAGTTTTAATTATTTATGGATCAGTAGAATAATGGTGATTAACAGAAGGACAGATAGACAGGCACACATACAGAGACATATTGTTACGATGTATGTATAAGGCGTCAGAATTAGTCTCACAGCCGAGCACAAGTTAGCTGGTAAAATCGAGTTCACACATTTGACGGTCAGAACTTGTATTCCAAAATAAGTATACAGTTGTATGGATTTAACATAACTGTAATACATGTTCCAACAACCTCATTTGATGAAGACTCATTATACACATTGAAGTTTTTAAAACTCTTTACCATAAATGTTTGTACACATTGATTCCTAATTAAGCCCAATGGGCTTCCTATTTTATAGCTGTTTCCTTCTTATTTGGTTATCAATGTAGGGCTCTATTGCAGTGAGGTTGATTTTTTTGAGCATGGTATGACATACCATTCAAACTAAACAGTTGAATAATACATGCTTTGTTCAGTGCTGATTCCCGCAAACTGTATGGTATACTTAAAATGTGAAATCTAAAAAGGGATTTAGTCAATAGCAAAAGTATGGATGTCACTTTCATATCACTGGGCTAATTAGGAGGCTTGGTAAAAGCACAAAATACTAGGTATTCTTGACGGAGGTTATCCAGTGAATGGCAGCTGGAGCCATAACAAACCAGCAACTCGCTGAAACAAAATATGCAACTCGGTGCAATAGCAATCACCACATCACATAACCAAATACCTACTAAAGGTAGTAGAAAACTATAGTCTACGATGGATTTGTAAGTAACGTTCACAATACCCTTATTCATATAACTTCAATCCACTGCAGCTCGAGTCTTATTAAACTACAGCAAAATTATGGCTATCGAACGAGCGGGACTTTACTCTACTAGCCATGCGAAGTTATCGACAGGATTAAGATGGCAACTTTATTCTTACGATTAATCTACAACTGTGGTTATTACAAGCACAGAGAATCCGGTGGTCTATATTTTGATGATGGTCACGAAGTTTTAACATCTCGCTTGGCAACACCAAACCACTTCACAACGTCACATGGTTTAATGTAAACTATTCACAAGGCAAACGCAAAGCTCTTGTTTTTTACTAATCAGCCTGACTATTGATCAACCTTTAAAGATTATAAACTGTCGAATTTCAGGTGTAAATGAATTCTATATTTAGTGGCATGTACCATCTTGAGATCGTCAGATACAAACTCTGTTTATTAATCCTTTAAAACCTGTTATGATGGACAATCATGCTCATTTATCATGATAAAGTGTCAGATGGATACAATTCTTGCAAAGATGTATGACACTTATGTATTAAAAATTAGCAAACTATTTAATACTTAAAAATGATTATTAAAAAGTCATCAAACATCTCTTGTCCTTCAGAATATCGAAACAAACAACTACAGTTCTTCATTCACAAAACTCTACCAAATCAGTTGTCAATGAAATCAACTTAATATTGCAAACATATATGGAAAAAATAATCTAGTTTCCTAACACACAACAATATTATTCTATATAGTTCGAAAATGCGTTGTACAAGCATGAAAAGAAATCTACAATTAGATTCAAAAACGAAAAAATCTGAAGGAATTAAGACTTTACAACAGAAAAAAGTTCGTAGACTAGAATTTATAGGAAGTAAATACAAATTAAAATGCAGTTATTAGTAAATATATTAATGTTGCAGACTGAAATGGGAAAAATGCTTTTCGACAGAAAATAACAATCAAATATTCAGTGCTTCACCGTACACTTAAAATGTTAAAGAAAGTACATAATACGATTCATATACAACCGGACGGGAAGGTGAAAGTATAAATGTAGCTTGTATAATTTTCTATACATATGATCATTAAGGAATAGAATATTTTGTCACAAACAGTTAGAACATAAAGAAATCTGGTTAGGAATAGCATCACGACAAGGACAAAAACGAGAAAATACATCAGATCCATTAAGAGTCCCCGAGGCAGTACAGTCAAACCATTCATGATTAGCTTGAAAAACACATGAACTTGTTGCATCGTCCCAATATGGTGCCATTGGACTAGTTGTGTAAGTAATATTAGGACAAGAAACACCGAGATGTTGAAGGTTTAGTCGATGATTAACACTTGGAAAGTGTTCTGGAGAACAGCGAAATGCATAAAGATAAGACAAGTTTTGCGAAGGCGTAGTGTGAATAGAACGATAGTAGAGGTAGCCATTCTGTATTTGGGGATGTTGTGTTTTGTTGCGAATGGAGTAAGCAGAAATATCGGGAGGCAGTAATAAAGTATGTTCTGAAGTTCCCAGATTTATACACACATCTGCACAAGATTTACCACGAGATCCCAAAACTATCTTCAAACTTGATGCTGGAGGCCATGAAACAGTAGTGCTAGGGACATCTAGGTAGTTAAATTTAGGAGGCGCATCAGCTTTTGTTATCGGCAATGGAGACTGGATCAAGTTTTTGTAAAAAGGTGCGGCGCAGATATTTTGGCGTGTCAAATAAGCATTAAGGCGTTCGAGTAAACCCCACGGACTATATTCGTGAGGACGATAGGTTCCGTTCTAAAATTAACAAACAGTAATTAAACGCTCAGCCGAAATGCATAACTTAAGGATGAAAACTCTAAGATCCAATTCACCTCTATAAAAAAGCTGATATCTTATAACTGATTATTAAAGGCTAACATATTTATATAGCGTATTTATTTTAAAGTATAAAAGGTTTATATATATATATATAGTGAATGGTTTGCTCAAGGTTATGATAATAATAATAGTAACCGTGAAAAACAGAAATACTTAAAAGTGAAATCTTACAGAAATGTTGGTCAGAATACGTTTGATAGTTAAGCGTATCTGTGTTTCATTGTCCATATCAACCAAATATGAGTAAGGTTCACCGATGTGATTTTCTATGTACGGATGTTGGCTGGTAAGCTGCAGAAATAGAAAAAAAAGTGGTCGTGACGTGAGGATAGTTCATGTATTGTTACTTATAAGTTATTTGGGGATATAGAAGTATATTACAAAACCCATATTTCTAAAGAATAGAAATAAGATTAGAATAACCCCCTTCGTATGTATATATCTCGTTTCAAGCTACTAAGATTGAAATAATCGAAAGTGTGGAAAAATTATAGCACATTAATCAATTGAACAAACACAAAAGCAAAGCAAATTTGTCATTCATAGCAAAAAACCATCAATTATCTATAAAATGATCTTAAACTTGTGAAGAAGGAAAAAGTCAGCTAATCCAAATCGACATGAAGCCAGTGACAGATGTGAATTAGCTCTAGTTAATATTTTATGTTAACACGACAAGCTGTAATTAAAAATATGAGTGGCAAAGAAGCCGAAATAAAATAGTTACGATAATAATCGATAAAACCAAACATTGACGATATGGTGCAAAAAAGACGAAATGAATAGGTATGAGTGAAGAAATATTGGAACTAAAGAGATTCAGAGGACGACAAAGAGCGAAAGCATATTTACCGTTGTAACCGAATATCATGATTAAGGGCACAGTAATAGATGTAGTGACTAAATTGATGGTAATAGAAAAGATTAGGAATAAACGATATGATTTAAGAAGATTGAATTTGTGAGATAATTTTAAAACTCAAAATAACACAAAGAATTAATGCATTTTCCCCACTGTGACTGATTTTGAGTCATGCCAACCAACCACTATAGTGATAATTTTGCAGACCCCAATCAAGTTTCCTACATCTAACAACAGGGCTCAATCCAATAACAGGCGATCTTACGGACTGACCTTATGTTTTAGTTTAGCCACACTAATTTACTCAAACACCCGCTAACATCTCCCCTCAAAGTAGGTAGTGGTTAGGCGCACGTGACATGTTCCAACCACTCTCAGTCGGTAAAGATTCACTACCTCATTAATCAATTCACTATACTTGGCTAGTGTCCTAATGGTTAAACACAACATCGCTCTTTCAAATATTTCATGATACTCAGGAAATGCTTCCAAGATATCTATGATAAACACACCTGAAGCTTATGCATGTCTTTTACTTTTACAGATGATGTCTCAGTTTTAATGAGTAACACAGAGCCGACTGCTAAGGATTGTACTAGACCTTTCGTTAGGCACCCAGACATCTTGCCAACGCTACAATTGACGCAAGGTCAGAAAATACAAGAGAGCTGTATCTAGGTGTCTTAGCATGCCAATGCACCAGAGATGATGAGACTCTTAATATAAGCGAAGTTGTGATTAAATTTAATTACTTCGCTCTGTATGAACAATGTAGTGCCGAAGCAACATAAGTTTAGAGAAAGGAAATTATATTCTAAACATTCTTGCATGTTACCCAGTGTGATCAAGAGATTGCATTATGTCCTTGTCTACATTAAATAGGGAAGAATTTCAAATTGGTAACGGATAATAGTCTCAAAGAATAAAATTCATCAGTTCAAATGATTAATCCAACCGCCTTAAACAAACGCGGTTGGAGGATTTTTCTTGGTTAATATTCAAGTAAATAATTAACTCTAATGGAGAAGTATGAGAGTTATTTAGTGTACTATGGTGGTCAGAAATATGTTTGTAGAACGAATTTAGCTTATAATACTTAAAAGAGTGATATTCAACATTTTCCTCACTATACTAACGTCTATCTGAGAAGCTGACCACGGACGTCTTAGAAATATTGCTCACATCTGCTGGGATAACCGGGTAAGTATTAGTGGTTAGACCTAGGGTATTAGAGAATGATGGTAAATCAGTTGGTGAGGTTGTGAATCTTCATCGACTGAGATGGTTAGGCCACGTATTAGGTATGCCTGAACACCGATTACCACGACGCGCAATGCTAACTGGTGTTGGAGACGGTTGGAAGAAAGTTAGGGACGGCCAAACCAAAACGTCGCATCAGTACTTGAAGTCACTAACTTCTAGTTTGAGCCATGTTGGTAGATGCAGACTACTTTGTGGGGGTGCGCGTGACTATCGTAACCAATGGTTGGAGACTGTAGGTGACATGGCTCAGAATCGATCACAATGGCGTCAGTGTATACGTTCACATACTTAATAAATGGGAAAAAGCTCGAAAATGCTTGATATTGAACATATAACCTCTACCATTTGCAACCATATAAGCAATTTAATACCGGCTTTATTATAGTCACTTCCTTACTGAATAATACACAAATACGGATAAAAAAGCATTAAGGGTATAGTGAATGAGAACTCAGGTATGGAAAACCAATTTATTGTTTATTGCAAAATCACAGTGGCTTAAACATGAAAATCATACATTGAATACATTATTTGCACATCTTCCTACATTCGTCTTTCAAATATTTCACGATTCTTTTAATTCTGTTGTTATTCCAATTGCTCTCTATTTCCCGTCCCGTTCTGTTCAATTCAATTTTATATCGACAGGTATTCCATTTTCAACTGCCGTTACATACTACTTATACCTTTCAGCATAAGTAGCATACACTACAAAGGGATTTGAATTTGGTTTGTTGCATCGTAAATAACTGCAATTACCTTAGGTGTCTTTAAATAATGTACACTTCTACACGGTTGCACATAATTGTAGGCATTAAAATAGCATTTTGAAAATAGGATATATGCATATTTGCTGAACATTTTATCGCATTTTTCAAATAGAACAAATTTGTTTAAGTTGAAATTTCTAATATCTACTACATTTTTTTAAATTAATAACAGAATAAGTGTATATTTCACAATGATAAAATATTTACATACACCATTGGATTTGATTTTCAGTTTAAATAATTGTAAAAATGAACATCAAATTGATGAGATAAATAAAGGTAGAAAAAATTGTCAGGGGTGTTACTTTACCTAGGTATGTGCTTATTCACTGATTATTCTACACATGAGTACCATTGTTAATTATACCCAATTTTTTATGGCAATAAATTGGGGTCGGTGATAAAACTAATCCATAATTTCATGATTAACATAAACATTGATATTTTATTAAGGTCAAGGTTTAATGATAGAGACTAGCTTCGAGAGGATATTTCCGGAGTTTTAATAAGAAGACGTGACCATTGGAGCTAATCCGTGTTGGATGTGAGGTAGTAACCCATCAGAAACAATGAAAGATGGTCGCGCAATGTCGTGGTTCAGTAGTTTATAGGTTAAAAGTTCGCCCGCGAAACCAAAGGTCCTGGGTTCCATTCCCTTTGGTAGGAAGTTGTAGACGCACACTGCTAATGAGCCCCATATTGAAACGAAACGGCCATCCAAGTTTTAAATATTGGTTTGACTTTGATTGGTTTATGATTTCAATGAAGATCAATTTAACATTCGTCTATAGTCGCAGCTATAATTTAACTACTTATATCATTAAATTTCAGAAAAAAACGATTTTATTTCAATAGGATAAACATGAAAATGTTCATAATTTCGGAATGATTCAATAGGCTGTTGATATGCTTAAATCTTCATAATAAAACGACATAGATGTCATAGTCTAGATTGGAGTAAACTTTGCTTATTCGAAGTTAATGATACGCATTACTTTTTCTGCATCAAACAAGACAAATTACGCAATATTTTGTTCCTATATATAAATTGATTTTATCAGTGACACTGTTTAGTAATGGTCAGTAATATGAACTGGAGTGATGAATCATTGGTTAAATTATTAAATTTTTAACGACCAGCTCATAAGTTCAAATCCTGTTTTAAATACTCTTCGAGATTTGGGGCGGGTTAAACCATCAGCTTCTAGTTTCGATTCCACGATTATCATAAGCCGAGACTCGTGTTATCGCAGATTGTTATCTATTGTTTTTCGTAGAAAATATAAATGCATTGTTTGCACTTTCTGCATCGTCAACTTACTTTTCCATTTGTTCTTCGCCTTTCCAGCCCTCCTCATCCACGCTACGCTGTATGTTCTCCTAGTAAACAAAATACCTTCTGGATAGACTCGAACCGCTACAAATAGTATTACTAACTTCGACACAAACAATATGGCTCAAATTCAAGTACATAGACGTGTACTTACTTAATGAATTAAATCATAATTATTATTCTTACATATGAACTAAACTCAAACCTTAAGGTGTGGCTAGTGAAAACAAGATCTGGTTGGTTATTGAGCGGCGGCAGCTTATTTATATATTTATTTAAACACATGAACATAGGTACAAGAAGGCACCAAATACATATGCACCACATAAATTATTCGATTTGTGTGAGGGCTGGAGTACTGCCCGGGTGCCCAAACCGAAACAGGCAGTTTTTTTAGAGGGCCACACCCCGAACCTTTGGCCTAAAGGTCTAATCCACAAGGCAGTGGAGCAACGTCAGGAGATACAGTCCCATGGTGGCCGGTGACCAACGATTGGTTCATACGCCATTTGTTCTCTTAGGATCCTGGAGCCCATGTGTACTATTGGCTTAGAATCAGGGTTTTCGTATACCACTAGGTGGATCCTCCATATCCACCAACCCGGTTAAAGCTCCAGACATTCACTTTTCGTCCTCTCAATTTCGTAAGCAACACCCGTGCCACAAGAAGGCAGTGAGTAGGACTTCCCTGGCAGTGGTTGCATGCACGTGGCTATGTGAGAGCATTCCGAGAGGGAAAGTTGACTCTTTCCACTCTCGACCGTACCAGGGCATTTGGGGACAGATACTCAACTTAATGAGTGTTGAATGAAGTACTGTCTAGCTTATACTTTGGCTCCCTATTTATGGTCGTGAATCTTATAAATGGTATGATGTGATCCAAAATATGTATAGTGTGTCAATCGACTATCTAGTCTGGCAGAAGTGTAATCCCAGTCACTGGTCGTATTATCGTATAATAGTAATAAATTATGGCAAGCGAAAATATTTTAGTTACGCCGTAATATTAAACCATGTTATTATTCTGATTAGTGAAGATATATTACGTTCTAAATAAATGGTAAACGAGAAGAAGACTTGCATCTAAGATAGAAATGATCCCTTATGATGTCCAGAATGAAAATAAAAGCTTTGCGATTGATTACATAATAAACCTCAGAGAATATCACAACGTCACTGGTAAACTTGTTTACATTTAATGGATGTTGTTCACTAATGGTAAGCAAAAAGACATATTTCATTATATTCATGATATGAATAATAAAGGAAGTTTAAACAAACTAACATATAATTGTATATAAGTAAATAGACAGTAGTTTGAAGAATTGATAATCTGAGATATTTCAAAGATATATAGTATGACTGAGTGGATCATAAAAACGAGAATCAAAGTGGATTTATGCTGGTAATATACGAATTAGCAAAAAACGTGAATGTTAATCGCATGCAATTATATCTCACTCAGACAAGGAATGTCAGAAGACAGAACCTTGTCTAAGACAGCGAAGAATAGGTACTTTGATAAACTACTACTCTTTATAAACACTTTTAAATACATAAAATTAAAATTAAAAACTTATTAAATGGTTGGTTCTGAAGCACTCAGTAAAAGAGCAAATTGTCCAGTAAGATATGTACCGAAGACAAAGCAGAATGAATTAAAATTTGAAGCTCAAAATTTCAACCTCACTCAATGACTAGTCAACTAAGTTATTGGTTTCTTTTTTAGTCCCTTCCTATCGGTATATTAAATAATACGTTATCAAATAAAACTATTTAAAATAAGTACTTACAGAACGTGAAGTAGGTTTATGAGCAAAAAATGCTTGACTGCTTCTACCGTGAGGCGGATCAAAACGAGGATTAAGAAAAATAAGACCATTGGCGATTGCTTCTAAAGGCGCAGGACCTTCGTAAGGAAATCCCAATCCAATCATAATCTAGAATACATTTTAAAAAATATCCCACTAGTTAACATTACAGTGGTTTATGTTTTTACACAAACAAAAATAAATACACTCTCATTACAATTAATCAATTAAAACTCGTCTCTCAACAATTTCAAAGTAACAACTTAACTCTACACTTGAATTAACTTCAATCAAATAGATCTCCACTAATTAAAGATATCACACGAAAATGTATCATTATGATATCATAAAAATATAGTTCGTTCCACATGAAATCGGTCACGTTAAACTGTCAGATAATAATGTTTCACATAATTTTAGTTCACCCTTTATAGTCAAAAATAACTAAAGGAAATAAACTAGGAAGATGCAATTGAAAATGTGACATATTATACGTACAAACTATCAACTATGAATAACTAACGTCTTATGGAGGAGTACAACTTGACACAAACTTAGCGAAGAGTACCATACACTTAATCACATCAATATCTGCTATTTTCATCCATCATAAATTTTAGGCTGTGATAAAGTAGACAACGCCTTCATCAAAACTCAATCAAGATTTGACTGGCAAAATTTAAATTAATGACCACAACAACATGCTGGGAGGCACACTCATAAATTACTTACATACTAATGAATCAATTATCAAGATAATTGTAAGGGAAATTTCAGGTCCTATATCTTCATTGATTATATAGGTTCCAGTAGTCAACGATAATGACCATTCTCTTTATCAATGTGATTTTAGAATCCTCAGTTGGTTTATAGATGAATATAGTCTGACATTTACGGATAGTTTGACTGTAAGACGATTACGAATTGCGACTGCACTGAGAAATAACATATCGCAATGTTAGATTTGTGAAACTTCTGTCTCAAACTCAAGTAGTTAACACGTATTTCCCGATCGTTCAATTTGAGGGCCGGTGTTATGGGAATAAAGAACAGAGTAAACTTTACCTAAGTTGGTCGAGAAGAGAGTATGAGGTCAAAATATAGCGCCTCTACTTCTGAGTCTTAGTAGTACATGGGACTCCATGTTTATTGACTAAAGTTTTCTGCAGCACAGAAATGGACGACTAAAGGAAACAGGTCGAGAGACATCGAATGAATAGTTGTGGTTTATGCAAATGTATAAAATCCTTGATTAACTAATGAAATTAGATTGTAAGCCCTCGCCCTATGTCGAGCACATCTAGGTTGTTCCAGCCTTTGGACAGGACTGATCAATATATTCATTGCTCTTAAACCACATTTTGACCTTGTCACTTATTCGCTTATCAACCTTTACTGTTTTTATGTAAGCATATGTGACTTATTTTTGTGTGACTGTAAATATCGATTCACGCATGGTTAAATGGTGTCGGCTTATTCGCCATCTCCATTGCGCATTATTTCGTTTTGCTTTGCTTTCCGAACAGCGATTGTACGAATTATACGGATTCAAAAATCCTTTCTCGTATTTGACTTATTTAATTCCATTATTCACCGACGCTCTTTAAGTCGATGATTATACACAATGATTAGCGGCATGTATAGTTCAATAACAGTCAGTCAGTAGCAATGTGGAACTTCGAAGGTACATACATCAGTTCGAGTTGCCATACCACATTAGCACAGAGATGCATTCATCGATTCAAATCCCGTAGTGGTAGGGGTAGTAAGAGTATAAACAGTAATCGGAAAGAGTAGGGTTTGAAGAAGTTATTCAAGGAGTATAATCCAATGAAATAACAAGCAGCAAACAACCCAATTAGTCAGATCTAGGGCCACTAAAGGATACCAAATTAGTTAAAGTCTTGATCGAACATATATACTATGTTCTTTTCTGATGTCCTTCATAAACTTGATTGTAAACCAACAGATTTCGAAATCAAACAGTCTAACCGTGCAGTTTCATCCAAATGACCGATTAATATGTCTAGCACTGATCTATCCTATGGTGTTGGTTTCTGAATCGCATCAGCTCAATTTTATTGGTTTTTTCCCCTTTTATTCACAACCTTGTGTTGCGTGTGTGAGACGCCCCCAAATGCCCTGGTACGGCCGAGAATGGAAAGAGTCAACTTTCCCTCTCGAAATGCTCTCACATGGCCACGCGTATATAGCCTCTGCCAGGGAAGTCCTACTCACTGCCTTCTCGTGGCGGGGCTGTTGTTTACGAAAATGAGAGGACGAAAAGCGAATGTCCGGCGCTTTAACCGAGCTCCAAACTGATGGTGCACATGGGCTCCAGTATCCTGCGGGTACGAATGGCGTATGAACCAATCGTTGGTCACCGGCTACCATGGGACTGCATCTCCTTACGATGCTCCACTGCCTTGTGGGTTAGACCTTTAGGTCAAAGGCTCGGGGAGTGGCCCCATAAGATAACCACCTGCTTCGGTTTGGGCACCCGGGCAGTATCACAGCCCACACACAAATTGATGAACTCTTTATGCCTATGGAAATTACCTTTCTCGCTTTGAAAAACAAACAATTGATTCAGATTATTATCATTACAATTATTGTCATTATTAATACTAATATTATTATTACTACTATTATTGTCATTATTGTTATTATTATCATTATTATTATTATTTTCCACATTATTCACCCTCTTTTATACTCATACAGCGGCTCGTCTTTGGTGGAAATCCGACTCTATCTAAACGTTCTCGAGTCACTGTCCGGTTGAAAATTGTATGTTACCACCGAATACGAGGACTGAAGCAGATTTTCTGAAACCACGTGCACCATTCAAACTGGCTGCCTTCAACGTTCGCACATTTATGCAGGTCGGACAACAGATAGGGCTGGCTATGTCTTTGGAAAGTCTTAATATCGACGTGTGTTGTCTATCCGAGACCCGTACATAAGACTCTGGCGAAGTACTACAAATTCGATCTCCATCTGTCGCTTCGAAAAGCTTGTTTTACGTGCGCTTATCCGGGGACCCTGTGGCACCTTCGTCTGGTCTTGCTGGCGTTCGTGTAGCATTAAGTACTAGAGCTGAGGCAGCACTAGTCGATTGGATCCCCATTAACAGTCGGTTATGTGCTGTTAGATTAGAAAGTTCCATCAAAGTGAGAAGAAATCGGCGTGAGAAACGATGTCTTTTCGTCATCTCCGCCTATGCCCCGACAGATTGCAGCCCGGATGCAATCAAGGATGAGTTTTACCACCAGTTATCAGTTCTTCTCCAGAAAGTGCGTTCGACAGATATTGTAGTACTAGCCGGAGATTTGAATGCTCAGGTCGGGCGTCTAGGCACAGAAGAGGGTGGTTTAGGTGGCCGATGGGGACTCGTTGGTCGCAGGTCAGATAACAGGGACCGTCTACTGCAACTGTGCACAGACCACAACCTGTTTCTGGCTAGCACTAACTTTTGGCACAGTCATCGCCGATGTGCCACATGGCGTCCTCCCTCTGCATCTCAAGCCTGGACTCAGATTGATCACATCGCGATCAGCTACCGCTGGCGTGGTTGTGTACAAGACTGCCGCTCCTTTTGGAGTACCTATCTGGACTCTGATCATGCCTTGGTCTGCGCCAATCTTGCCTTACTTTTCAGTGGACAACGAAGTGAACGCCATCAACGGATTGATGTTAGCAAGCTGGTTGCAACTTCTGTTGCAAGTAAGTATCGAACCGAGCTAGCCTCTAGGCTAGCTACCACTCCACCGAAAAGTATAGATGAGCATTGGTTGCAATTGCATGACGCCATGAAAATGGCGGGAACAGTCAGTTGTGGGTTTGCGAAACGTCCCGCTTTTAAGCACTGGGTTTCTTCTGGTTCCTTACAACTCATTGAAGCCCGTCGGTCTACTCCGGGTGACCGTGAGTTTGACCATAAACGAAGGATGTTAGGTGAGGAAATTGGGCAAAGCTTGCGTAAGGACCGAGAAGCCTGGTGGTCGAAGCGTGCTAATGAGCTGGAAGCAGCAGCTGCATCTGGTAACTGCCGGAAGCTCTTCCAGCTCATCCGAGCCACTGGCAGCAAGAAGTCTGGTGTGAGTGAAACAATCTGCGAGGATGATGGGATGCCAATCACTAACATCCATCGACGTCTTGGACGATGGGCAGAATTTTTCGAAGGGCAGTTCAACTGGTCTGCTGCTCCGGCAACATCGGTCAGACTGTCCTGCCCTCCATGGCCGGTGACGACTGATCCACCAAATGAGGAGGAAGTCCGCAAGGAACTCCAACTCTTGAAGCGTTACAAATCACCTGGCCCAGATGACTTACCTCCGGCTCCTTTTAAAGATGGTGGTGACTTTTTGACTAAGGAATTGACGACGTTGTTTACAAAGGTTTGGGAACTAGAGAGTGTACCAACGTCATGGAATGAGTCGATAGTTGTCCCTATCTTTAAAAAGGGTTCACGTCGTTCTTGTAACAACTATCGGGGGATAAGTTTACTTCCGATTGCGTCCAAGCTATTGGCTTCCGTCATTCTTCGTAGGTTGTTCAAAACCCGAGAAAGATTGGCTCGCGAGGAGCAGGCTGGGTTTCGTTCTGGTCGAGGATGTATTGATCATATCTTCATCCTCCGCCAAATGTTAGAACACCACCATACTTATCATAGGCCAACAATCGTAGTGTTTCTTGACATCAGGGCTGCCTTCGATTCGTTGGACAGGACTGTTCTCTGGGATTGTCTATTGAAGAAGGGTGTGCCTGAGAAGTTTATTAACATCCTAAAAGCCCTGTATAAAAACACCTCAGGCAGAGTGAGGGCATACAACCACCTCTCTCCATTGTTCCATTCGAGCAGTGGGGTTAGGCAGGGTTGCCCAATCTCACCATTCCTCTTCAACTTTGCCATCGATGACATTCTGGAAACAGCTCTGATGAATGTAAGTAATGGTGGTGTGGATCTGTTGCCTGGAGAAAGACTTCTCGACCTTGAGTATGTGCTTTGCACCTTCGAAGTGCAAAGTACTTCTACAAGACTGGCAGGATTCTAATCCTGTACTCACTCTGGATGGTGAGCAGATAGAAGTAGCCGAGAAGTTCGTGTATCTGGGTAGCTGCATAAGTGCTGGTGGGGGTGTGAGTGATGAGATTAATGCACGTATAGTCAAAGCCAGAGCGGCTTATGCCAATCTGGGCCACCTTTGGCGCCTTCGTGATGTTAGTCTGGCTGTAAAAGGCCGGATCTACAACGCGTCGGTGAGAGCAGTTTTGCTCTATGCTTGTGAAACCTGGTCTCTCCGAGTTGAGGACGTTAGACGACTCTCTGTGTTCGATCATCGCTGTCTCCGAAGGATTGCTGACATTCAGTGGCAACACCATGTCAGTAATGCAGAGGTTCGGCATCGTGTGTTCGGGCACAGAGATGATAACTCAATCGGTGTCACCATCTTGAAACACCGACTTCGGTGGCTTGGACATGTTCTCAAAATGTCGTCCCAGAGAATTCCACGTCGTGCATTATTTGCCGACTCTGGGACTGGTTGGAAGAAGCGGAGAGGTGGTCAGTGCATGACATGGTGTCGTGGCATGAAAGAAAGCTGCAAAGGACTGGCTTGTGTTGGTCCTTCACGACTCCCTGGCTGGGGTCCGAGAGATGGTGCTACACAGTGGCTAGAGACGTTATCAGATATGGCTCAGAATAGAAGCCAGTGGCGATCCTGCTGTAACCTTCTTTTACTTTCTTCATAAAAAGTGGTTGTGTCTCCTTTACCTGAAAGATTTCTTCTGATTGTACCTTTTCGTTCCGTCGTTACTACCACACTACCTTACTCCAATCTCTTCGTCATTGTTCTCTTTTTCTTTTGCGTTCCTTAGTTGTTTTTTTTTCTTTCTTCTTTCTACTTCTCTTCGAATTCCCATTGTTTTGTGTGGCGCATATATATTGGCGCTCTATTGTACCAATATTTATGTGTTCAAATAAAATAAAATAAATAAATAAATTGTGGATCAGACCTTCAGGTCGAAGGCTCGGGGTGTGGCCCCCTAAGAAAACCACCTGCTTCGGTCTGGGTACCCGGACAGTATCACAGTCCTCACACATATCGAATGAGACTTGTGTGGTGCATATGTATTTGGTGCCTCCTTGTACTAATATCTATATCTATGTGTGTGTGAGACGGTTCACTAATTCATTGGATCCATTATCATTATTTTGGTAAAGTTAATAGATAGTATTCACATTCAGAGAAACTATAGGTGACACTGAATAGATAACTGGAGAATTTAGAGAGGGGAAGAACCCTGGCAGTATAACTAAGATCAATTGTCGCTTGACTTAATTCTCTAGTGGCATAGTATTGTCACTAAAATCATCTTCACTCTGTTCATCAATCGAATTCCTATGAGATAGAATTAGTATGCGTCAAACACAGAGTTCGCTGCTAATATTTCACTGATATCTTGAGAAACAAACAATGCTAGTGACTATTTACGATAAAATGCCAGTTCGTCAGCTTTGTGGTCATTAGTACGTTAAACTCTATCATCATAATTCTGAAAACTATTTAATGTTGCACGCTTCTATGAGTCAGATTATCAAATAGTTTCTTAATAAGTCCAGTTATAATACACTGAAAAAACCCAACTTTTTTAACAGGACAATTCAACATGAATGCAATTGCATATAAACTTACTTGAGCTTTCGACATTAACTCTAAATATGGTTGACCATATTGCATTTGATGTATATACACAAATTTTGGCAACTTATCAACGTTATCCATCACATTTCCATGTAATTCAAAGTAATCAGATAAAATTCTCAAATAATTTGTTTTATTCTTAAGAGAAAAAATAATTTGATGATGTACACAAAGATAAGTAAATGAATGAGAGAAACAATGAATAACAATTAATGAATATAACAAATGTAGTAGATTCAAGTAAAACACAGTTGAACATTCATATTTTATTTGCAATGAAAGAAAACAATGAACACAGATTTTACTACAAAACAACGCGCAAAATACAACTGATCTGTTGATAGTACAATACTAATTATGTTAAGTATTTGAGTGTGAATGTTGAATAAGTAACTAAATCAGTAAGATTATTTTGACCAAATGATGATATAACAACAATAGTTACTTCACAATCTAGTGTTACTGGATTTTATCGAAATGGATAGATATATGAATTTAATTTTAGCCCAGAGTTTGGGTTATTGAAGTTTTTTAAAACTTACACCTAGCTGAAATCAACTCTTAAAATAACTGATTGCTAAGTCAGATGTAATACCAAAGATATGGAAAAAATACACAAGAATCATCCAGTAAAAATATAAAACGGAGGTGAACAAGGATTGAAAGTGTAAAATGGATCAAGTTGGTCTCGGTAGAAAAAATAATGAATATAGAAAAAAATTTATAACATAAGAAATATGTCGATAATGGTTAAAAACGACATCTCTAATAGTCGTTAATGATCTACGTAAACCGATCATTTAGTTTCAAAGCTTACAACGCTCTATTTTAAATTATCTTTGAGATAGATTTTTTATTCTGGTGGAGTACGAATTGTTTTTACTTGTAAGAACCTGATTTAGGGAAATGTTAAGAATAAACGGCCGGTTTGGGCCACCCTGATGTACATTTATCAATTTACTTGATCTTGCGAAGCAGGTTATATTGGCCGCATAAATCGCAAACCTACTAAACGAATATCCGGGCGCAATCCTGCATGACTGTATCTAAAAAGGAATGGAAATCAATCAATAATTCAGCCCTTGAATGGATAGTCGATTCTGGTTATATCCCGCGAGAATCATCATTCAAGATTATCCACGAAAACAATTGGCTGGAATAAAGTTTGCATTGGGAATTTGTGTACAACTGAAGCTATATTAATTTATTAGCTCAAATCTGATCACTATATACAAAAGAGTCATGTTCAATTTTGTTATTTATTCATGGTCTTATCACACCGTCTAATTTTTACAAATCGTAAGTGCTAATTACGATCTTGTTTGTTATCTTCTTCATAAAGTAGACAGCTACCTTTTAGAATTTTTATATAAATAACTATTTCTTATAATCTTTAAGGCTGATGCATAACTTGACCTTTCGGCAATTTTGGTCATGCAGAAGAAAAGAGAAAAGAAGTGGTGAAAGAACGGGTCCTTGTCGCACACCTTCATGAGACAGGAGAGATGTTGAACACTCTCCTTCAAACACAGTGTACTGTTGTCTACCAGAGAGGTAGGAACGTAGCCCATTAGTTATCCAGCTGTCAGTGTTGATGCTGATTAACTTGTTAAGTAAAAGTTGTCTTGACATGGAATCAAAAGCAGAAGCATAGTCCAGAAAAGTGCATCGAACATACTATTTACCTTTTTCCAAGCTGAACACTATATTGTGATGCAAAAACAACAACGGCATCTAAGGTGCCTCTTTTGCATTTGTAAGTAAACTGATACGGATCGATGAGCTCTTTTATTGCAGGTTGAAGTGGGAGTATCAATAATTTTTCCATCGTTTTGAGGAAAGGTGAAGTTATTGCTATGGGTCTAAATTTCATACTCGTATCACCAGATACTTTCTTAGGCATAGGGATTATCTTTATCTTTCTCCACACTTTCGGTGTGAGATTAATTGAGAAGGATACTCGTGAATGGATAACATAGGACATCAGCAAGTTTTAAGAAGGTTTGGGATACCATCAGGTTCTAAACATTGGGATGAATTAAGTGACTGGAGACATTTCCGGACATTAGTTTCAGTGAAACTAGAAACACAACTATTCTTCAAACGTGTGGATGTAGGGAGTATGACATCAGATGACTGACGTATAAAAGACTTACTTAAGTCACAAACATTCAGCTGGTTATCGCTTCTAATGTGCCTGTCACCTTTAAGTTCTTTATAGAGTTCCCACATAATTGGAGAGTTTTTACGAGATAGGAGTTTTTGAGTAAACATAGAGTTGAGACGTCTAATCTCTAGGTTTATTAGACGACTTAGCTTACGAATTTCAATAGAGTGTGATAGATAATTTAACAGTAAAGCCTTCGTTATCTCTGTAGACAACACATCATTAGCAAAATATTCCGAGAGAAGTGAGCTATTCGCATTTGACCACACATAATCAACAGCTTGTTTCGCCAACATTCAGTTGGACTGGTTGTTGTCATCAATTGTCCTATGGTTGTCTGCGTATGCTGACCTAGTTCTTATTCAACATTAATTCCGTTTTAATTCAATGTGATAACTACTCAGTACAGTATTTGTTACTGATTTCCCGTATGACATTTTACTCTGTGATATTAAGTTAACATGAACTATACTCAGCATATGATTTGTTGTAACGAAGTATTTTTTATATATGTGATTCTGTTCTAATTATTAATCAAAAATGAGTGCATGAATCAATATATAAATGAGTGTGATTCCGACTAGACTCGTCGTGGTTGTTCGTGCTTCTGACGGCTTGTGGAATATATTTACCTCTCTCGAACTTGGACTTCTATCTCTAGTAAGCGGAGCTGGGACGCGTCGAAACAGCTAGCTTATCCGTCGTAGTGTCACAGAGTCTTCGTTCCGTTCTCAGATTAGGCGAACTCGTAATCGCTTCAAACATAGCAAATTTGGAGACGGAGGTGGGATATTTTGGCATATGTTGACCTAGTTTTTGGCCTTATAATGATTTATGACTTTTTTAATTGGTTGATACATGAAGTCGATTTCGTCATATTTTATTAGGTGCTGACTGATCTGAAAACCAAACTTCTAAAAATTATCTGGTCTTTTTATTCCCTTTATCAAAGATCAACTTCATACAAATGTTATTTCAAAAGAACGAAAACACTGCAACATCCATCTACACATACAGAATTGAAGAATACCTAGTGATTTTTTTTCTAAAGAATGACTATCCATATATCAAACTCATCAAAAATCAAGAAATAAAAATATGGATACCAACAAACGAATAATCCATATACGAAGGGCATGTTGAATTCGCAATTAGTTAATTGAGACTGTTTGAAATAGGTTAAGCTTACAGGCCACCAAAATTAATTTGATCGACCAGATATAAGGTCGAAAACTAGGTCAAAATGTAGGACAACCAACGTATATATACACATGCAGACAATTACAGGACAACTGATGACAACAACCAATTAAACTGAATGTTAGCGAAACAAGCTGTTGATTACGTGTGGGTAAATTCGAATAGCTCATTTCTATAGGGATATTTTGCTAATGATGTATAGTCAAGGTAGATAATGAAAGCTTTATGATAAAACTGCCTAGTTCAAAAACATTTTCACCAAAATCATCCCGCTTTAGCTTAAAATCTTTTTGACTATTTCATACATATGGCTAAATCCCTAAAACAAATTACAGGTAATTTGATCATAGGTGTCTTTGAAGCATTGTTCATGTATAATGAATGATTTTAATTTAAATATAATTACAATGGAAGAAATTCACATCTAAAAACTCAACAACTTGACTACCCCACACATAATTTATTGGTTATTCTAATATGTAAGGGAACTTACAGACCACATATAAGCCTCTTTTCCGTAGACAAGAGCAACAGGTTTAAATGATGATTGATGAGAGAATTTAGATTTGGGTGGAAGTATTTCAGCAACAAAACCCAGAAATGTATTATCCGGTGAATGAGCTAGAAGTATCAAAACAAGGAAACAATAACAACTACAAAAATGTACAAATCAGAGTGAATTAAATGAATTTCCAAAAAGTAATAACACTCAATTATTGTTGAGAATGTGTAGGCTGAAATAACATATTATAGCAGAAATATGTAGTGAATGAAATCGAGCATGAATTAAGACAAAATAATAATAAAAGAACCGAAGGAAAACTAATGAATATGGTCATAATTAAGAGTACTGTTGAGATTGATTGGTATATTCTGAAGAAGGGACTTCAAAATCTTCAGTTCTACAAACGCATTATTTTTATTTTATCTAACCCATCTTTGTTGTCTGAATGTCTTTGGTCGTGACTAAACCATCCAACTCAAAGAACAAAATTCCACTAAAATGTGAAATAATGGATAACTTACGGAAAAATGTATAGAATTGCTGTAAATTCAAATGTAATCCACTCCAAAGTTCTTTTTTACGATTATAAAGAGCTTCTGTTCCAAATGTATCCAATATACGAAATTTACATAATGGAGTCCTTAATTTGGAGAAAACACGATACAAAATGGATTTTTATTACGCATTTATTGTATATAAAAGTTTGATAAACCTAATAGGGTCAGTGGTTTTATAAACTTTAAAATAACAAGCAAACTGACAGTTGAAAGTTGCTTTTATCTTCAATTTACATCCACGAGAAAACCATTAAACAATTACTCTGTCATTCAGTGATCGTTCTTTATTCTAATGTGAAATGTATTGCTAGTCATAAACTGTAGATAAGAACACTCGGAATGCAAAAGCATCACCAGTGCAAGAGAACCCTGATTAAAACATATCACTTAAGTACCGAAAATATAGACAACAGGAAATAGTTAGTTTTAGTAACAAATAAGACTCATTTAATCAGAGTTGGTTAAATTAATCAAGTAGTTTAAACGATCATGTCCATTTCATGTCATAACGAAAGCGAAAACAGATTTAAAAATAGCCACATACAAACATACCTAAATAGTCACCGATAGAACTAAAATTGATTTTCGAAATTCACTTTTAACTATTCCTTAGAACAACAATAAGTAAATCATAGAAGAGAAGAGGAAGACAATGAAAAAAATTAACTAACAAAAATGAATAAAATTTAGTGATTATACATGCCAATCATCATCAAACATGTCCAACATCTGAAGCCCGAAAATACACTTTTATATCACGCTTGTTTAGAATCCTCTTGATTTCTTTTGATCTTATATTACACAGATAAGGAAGACCAACAGGTTGAATTGAATAGAGTTTTGTCTACACTTAAGGATAACAAACACCCCAAAGTTTATAAAAATTATTAGAAATGAAAGAAAAATTAAACTAGAATGTATACCGAAAGACTGGAAGTTCATCGTAGTCATCCCATACCGTAGTGGAACATCGGAAGAAATCAAGAAGATTCGAAACAAGTATGATATAGGAGTGTATTTTCGGGCTTGTGACACAATAAGATCGACGTTAGTGAAAGTTAAGGATAGGTTTCCAAAGAAAGAACAACAAAATATTGTCTATGAGACCAACTGTCATGATTGTAATGCAGCTTATGGGGGAGAAACTTCTAGACAATTGAATGTAAGGTTGAAGGAAAACAAACTGTTTGAAAATGTTCCCAAATCCTCGGTCGACCTAAAGAAACTTGGGAATAAGTCCGAGATACGTTGGAAACAAGACACAAGATTAATTTTTAAGGGATCAAAATACTTCAGAAAGGTTTTAATACTCATAAAGAAAGATTGACAGCAGAAACGCTGTATATATGGGCGAACAAGAATAGCTTGAACCAAAAGGATGGTATTCAACTAACAATTACTTGGCAAATATTTATTAACAAGAAATTGGACCCATTCTTTATTCAACCTGTTTATTTCAAATGCATCGTTATATTGACAGAAATTGATGTCATTTTTAGCAATACAATTATGTATTTGATGATTTTCATTTTAATATCAGAAGGGGGTTTTGTGGAGATTTTAGTAATTTCAATTGTTGAGATCATGAGTCCATTGAAGCTAGACCACCATGGAAAACTTGGAAGCACTGGACGGTCGTTTCGTCCTATTGTGGGACTCCTTAACAGTGCGAAACTCTGGAAGATGTAGAATCCTTCACATACCTGTAGAGCATCATCGATGAACAAGGAGGATCAGGTGCAGACGTAAGGGCGAGGATTAGCAAAGCAAGCGCCGCATTCCTACATTTGAAGAATATATGGAACTCAAAACAACTTACAATCAATATCAAAGTCAGAATCTTCAATATGAATATCAAAACAGTTCTACTGTACGGAGCTAAAACGTGGAGAACTACTACAGCTATCACCAAAAAAGTACAAGTATTTCTAAACAGTTGTCTATACGAGATACCATCAGCAACAGCCTACTGTGGGAGAGAACAAACAAACTTTTAGCTGAGGGGGAAATTAGGAAAATATGCTGCAAGTAGATAGGATATACATTACGCAAATCATCAAACTGCATCACGAGGCAAGCCCTAACTTGGAATCCTGGAGGGAAGCGGAAAAGAGAAGGCCAAAGAACACATTACGTCAGGAAATAGAAGCAGATATGAAAAAGATGGATAACAACTGGAAAGAATTGTCCAGGACAGGGTTGGGTGGAGAATGCTGGTGAGCGGCCTATGCTCCTTCACGAAGAGTAACAGGCGTAAGGAAGTATATATTTACAATATTCAATCTATTGAATTTATTTACACTCTTTCTATACTATACTGATGTGTCTTCAAAATAACTCCCAACTAAAGTCTCTCACATAAGTAATTTAAACCCATTTTGTAATGATGATTTTTAAATATCACAGATAGTAAGCAGATGACAGGTAACCAAACGAACTAAAATGAATTTATAATATTCTGCTAGAATCTTTGTTCTTACATAGTAAAAATACTTCATTTTCAGTAATGAAAGTTGCTAATAATTTTTCTTCTTCAAACTCAAGATGATTAACTCATAAATAAGATGAATACCGATTACTAATTAGACTACTTCTTGTTCTCAATGACTATTGATATTATTATTATTCCGTGCATTTTAAAACAAGAAGTATACAGAAATAATACAAGGTAGAAATTATATGAAATAAAGTTGTTTAAGAGGGTTTTATTGATTTAGTTAGAAATTAACATTTTCACATAACAAATATAAGATAGCATCATTGTTATTGAGATGAAGAGCTGATTGTCAATAAAAAAATATATAAAATAGTTTAACTGTAGTACACGACAGCAGAATAAACTGTAACACAGAAGTTACGCATAAAACTTCATCTAGAGACATTGAAACAATTTCATTTATTTAACAGGATAGAAAATAAGTGAAGCATACTTCAATTTATTTCATAAAGTATGTACAAAATGGTGAAATTTAATTTAAGTTATGCAATATTTTTCATTAAATGTAAATCTATAAACTAACCGGATGTTCATTCCTTTCAAATTTCTAAATCCTATAATATCCGTGTATATTAAATCGTATTTATTATTTTCTACCTGACAAGGTATGGAATTTGAGTAGGGATGCAACAATTTTCTATTAATTTTAATTGAGAGAATAAACAAAAACAAGTAGAAAGAAATTAATTAATATGGGTTCCTAGCAAACATAAATCAATGTGGATAGAAAATTCACTGAATAGGGGAGGAAACTAATAGACATTTTTAAGATTTCAGTCAGATTACGATGTAGTGTATGTGTCTGAATTTTTCTTCCTCTAAGTGCGAAATATTGTTTTGGGACTGGTTTATGTCAACTCTAAGAGTGGTCATAAGAAGCGAAATAACTGTACGAGTTGACTACTTACTTCTTCTAGGGAATTACGTCACCTCGAGTGAGTTGATTTCTGATGGAAGCTTGGTTGGTATTTGGCGATTTATGTTTCTTGTGACATAAGTGATATGTCCATCTGTTAACTGAACTGCTAGTGTACTGGCCAGAGATAGACTCTATTACCAAACGGGTGTAGAACATCATCTATGAAATAGAAGACACGTATATGTTGCAGGCTTTTGATAGCAAGCGTCTTCAAAGTGTTGCCGCCGCACTGCATGAAAACGAAGCCAGAAATATAGAGTCTAGATGCATAGTACCAAGTAGAGATAGTAAATTGGTTGGCGAGGTAATGAATCTTAATCAACGGAGATGGATAGTACATATTTTGTGTATACTGAACCACCCCTGCTTAGAAAAACAATGCCAGCTGGTGAAGTACTATGTTGGAAGAAACCTAAGTGCAGCCAAACCAAGACATGGAATCAATCCATGAAGTCACTAAATGTTTAACTGAATCATGATGGTAGATATAGACTACCTGTTTCGAATCTGTGAGTTAACCATGATCAGTAGTTGGCTCAGAGTTAATTAAGATGACGCAGATGCATTCACCTTTTATTTTTCCCCAGATCTTAAGTTCCAGTGTTCTACCATAGATACTTTTCATTGTCTTTTTGAACCATGTTCTGAATATCTAGTTCTTTTAATTGCCATTTTCACTTCATTATTTCGAATTATCTACGAATTATGTTGTTAATTTCATCTCGTCACGTTAATCTGGTATGACAACTAATAGTAATGCACATTTGTTTCAGGCTATATAATGATTATGATTAATTGATAACGTTTGTATGCCTAATGCATTCTTTAATCAATTACACAGATTTTGAAAAATAAAAACTGATTATTTAATATATCACTTAACGCATAATTTTCATAACTTTCAATGTAGGTAATTGTTTATCTCACGAAATGTACATGGCCCGGAGGCAATGAGGTTCACCATGTCGTAATGTCATACCATCTAGTAAGCAGCTATATCGTCAAAAATGATAGATGCAAATTTTCCAAGTTAAAACTTCAGCAATATATCAGTTATATATATATATATATATATATATATATATATATATATATATATATATATATATTATTTACGTATATCAAGTTCAACAGTATTCCACACTTTGAAAAATAATCTGAAAAGTTTATAATAATGAAATTTATTGTCTATAAATGATAACTTGCATTACCTACTAAACACAGTATTCTAAAATGTATAGAGAAATTTTAGTTCATTGTGTTGATCAAGTTGATGAACGTAAACTATTAAATAATGATGAACTGCTTAAACTCCATGACTATAAATTTGTCAACTATGAATATATCACACTAATTATCTGTTTAATAATTATGTCAATCGACTTATTGTGTATGTTAAATGCAAATATACATATCTTCTTTATAATGCTTATAACTTTACATGAAGCTTAATTACTTCATAATTACAAGTGGAACAACAACAGTGACTAATGTATCCTCCTTCATGTCTTCCTTCAGAGAAACATTAGTCAAAATTGCTAGTTAAGTAAGTTATACGATGAAAAAGGTACGTCAAAGGAGTAAAACTATTGAAAAATGTTAGTAGATAAGGATTAATAGAAGCTAATTATTGATGACAAAAAAAACATTTTAATAACTTTTCTGATTATTACTAAGTTGTATGTAAAAGTGGACGGAAAACTATTGCTGAATAAGCTTCATTATAATTAAACAAATGGTGTTAAAATAAGCTATTATTGTTATTATCAGCACGACTATATGTTACATAGCAAATTTGGAAATGTATAAGATAAATCTAAGAGTACTGTGAAATTGCGCGTGTACAGACATATTCACTGTGTAAAAAAATAACTTCACTTTCAGAAAACATAATCTTACAATTTTGCTTCAACAGCTTCAAAAGTAATTGTTATGTTGTGTCCAAGAATATAGAGGGCACCTATGAGATCAGTCCATTGAACAAGTTCACCAAGGGGACCACCTGGAATTGTATTAAAATGGATAAGGAAATGTGACTAAATTTTGCTCTTTTAGTAAGTGTACACATCGAATTTAAATAATATACATATATAAATATAATCACTTATGTTCGTTATTATTTTTGAAAATATAGAAATACAAAATCTCTTGGTTGATATTACAAATGGGATAGATTTAACCTACAATTAAACTATTGTCATGAGTAACTAATAAATATGAAATTAACATTGAGAAAAACTTGATGATTTTCCCTAACCGGTGAATCAATGGAGTCGGTTTTCGATCATGTAATAAGAAGACGAAGATTATCAGAACGATATGATATATTAGCGCAATACATTTCGAACAATCTGATCATCCATATACTTGTTAAGAACATTTATATATAAAAATAAAAGGTCAACTAGACTGGAAATGGGGTAAGAGGAGGCAAGAATAATAATAAAAAGAATGAACACAATTTGAAACCTAATCAATCTGGATAATAAGTCAATATTACCAGGGTAGGTTTAAGGTGACAACAAACTGTTTTTGAATACACATAGTTCTGATAATCTTCTTCTTATTACATTATCAAAATTTATCAAAGGGACTAATTGCTTTAAATTTCTTAAAAGGAGCCGGTTTTATTAATTACCGAAAGATTTGAAAAACTTTTTTTCTTGAAATCACAAATTACTTATTCACTATTCACGTCATTAATGAAATGTGTGAATCAACTTCGATAAGTGGATGTAAAGATAGGTAGAAATCATGTACGAAATACAATAACTGAATAACAAATCAATTGATCACATCTTCATTGATTTCAAAATTACATATAATTTTTTTCTAAAAAATAATAACAAATATAAGTAGTTACCTTTAGAGATATATGATTCGAAAGAATTCTTATAAAAATCATTCGATAAAAATCCCATATAGAGTAGAATCTATTTAAAATAAACGCAAATGATATCAAGTGAATTGAAAGATAAATATATATTTATAGGTAGGATCCGTTCATTTATTCCTGCATATTTGAAAATAAATAAAACACAAAACATAGATAATCACGCATAACATGAGCTAAATAAATACAGAGAGAAAGTCGTTTGGGTGGCCTATGGGGACTTGTTGGTCGCAGATCAGATAACAGGGACCGTCTACTGAAACTGTGCACAGACCACAACATGTTTCTGGCTAGCACTAACTACCGGCACAACCATTGCCGATGTGCCACCTAGAGTCCTCCCTCTGCATCTCAAGCCTGGACTCAGATTGATCACATAGCGATCAGCTACAAGACCACCGCTCCTTTTGGAGTACCTATCTCGACTCTGATCATGCCGTTGTTTGCGCTAATCTTACCTTACTTTTCCGTGGCCAACAAATACATCGTCCCAAACGGATCGATGTCAGTAAATTGGTTGCAGCTCCTGTTGCCAGTAAATATCGAACCGAGCTAGGTTCAAGGCTAGATACCAACCTACCGAAAAGTATAGATGAGCATTGGTTGCAATTGCATTACGCCAGGAAAATGGTGAGTGAAGTCGCTTGTGACTACGCGAAACGTTCCGCTGATAAGCACTGGGTTTCTTCAGGCTTTTAACAACTCATTGAAGCCTGTCTATCCACTCCGGGTGGCCGTGATTTTGATCACAAACGACGACTGTTGCGCAATGAAACTTGGAAAAGCCAGCGTACGGACCGACAAGCCTAGTGGTCTGAGCGTGGAAGCAGCAGCTGAACCTTGCAACTGCCAGAAGCCCTTTCAACTTATACTAGCCAGTGGCAGTAAGAGGTCTGGTATGAGTGAAACGATCTGTGAAAATGAAGGGATGCCAATCACTAAAATCTATCAGAGTTGTGGACGATAGGCAAAGTTTTTCGAAGAGCAGTTCAACAGGTCTGCTGCCACGGCAACATCAGTTGGACTGTACTACCCTCCACGGCCTGTGACAACTGATCCACCTAACAAGGAGGGGGTCCACGGGGAACTATGAATTTTGAAGCGCTACAAATCACCGAACGCAGATGACTTACCTCCGGCCCTTTTTAAAAATGATGGTGACTTCCTGGTTAAGGAACTGACCGAGTTATTTACAAAGGTATGGTAATTAGAAAGCGATCCAAAATATTGGACTGAGTCGATAGATGTCCCTATCTTTAAAACGCGATCATGTCGTATCTGCAACAACTATCAGGGGATAAGTCTAATTCAGATCGCGTCCAAACTATTGTATTCCGTCATACTATGTAGAGTGTCTGACATAAGGAAAGATTGACTCGTGACGAGCAGGTTGGTGTAAGGTAGGGGTGACCAAACCAAAACTTGGTATCAGTCCATGAAGTCGATGGAGGTTGGACTGAGCTGCATAGGTAGGTTCGGACTCTCCAGTTGAGGTTCGCATGATCATCTTAACCATTGGTTAGAAACCTTGGATGAAATAACATGGAAACTTTCCCATTGGAACATGTGCACTCATTTCTTGAGCTCATTTAAGTCTTAAGTTTGTAAATTATTTTAAAATGTTTTTCTGTTTCACGAATCTGTATTTTCTAAATTCACATGTTCTATGCCTAATACTTCCTATTACCATTAATACTGTTACCACATTTACTACTATGTCATCAGTGTGGTGGTGTGATGCCTTGAGTCGATGCACTTATGTACCAGGCTCTACTCTGTCTATGACTAGCTATCGAATGCCCTGGTACGGTCGGGGGTGAGGCGATTCCACTCTCCCTCTCGAAATGCTCCCACAGGACCTCGCGTATACAGCCACTGCCAGGTAAGTCCTATTCACTGCCTTCTCGCGGAGAGGGTATTGTTTACAAAATTGAGATGTGTCAAAGCGAATATCCAGCGCGCCAACCGGGTTGGTGGACACGGAGGTCCACCTAGGGGAGTTGGAAAACCCTGATTTCAAACCGATGGTGCACATGGGCTCTAGAATCCTTAGGGAACAAATGGCGTATGAACCTATTGTTGGTCACTGGCTACCATGGGACTGCACCTCTTAGCGTTGTTCCTTTGCCTTGTGGATTAGACCTTTAGGTCAAAGAGTCGGAGTGTGGTTCCCTAAGAAAACTACCTTTTTTTCGTTCGAGTGCTAGTGCAGTACTCCAGCCCTTACACAAATCGAATGAGGAAGTTTGGAGTAATATATTTGGTGCCTCCTTGTACCAATGTTTGTGTTTAAATAGACTTACATCAACTTGCCATTCAGGTCGACTGGAGATCATGGGAAACCAAAGTGTGGCTGAAGGCCAGTTGAACTGATCCCTAAAGTGTTCTGCCCATCGACCCAATCTCCTGGATTAAGAATGAATAATATGTCCATCTTTTTCCGAGATAGTTTCGCTAACAGTTGGGTTCCTAATACCGGTTTCCTTGAAAAGTCTGAAGACTTGTCTACTATTGCCTATTGCCACTGCCTTTTCCATCTCTCTTGCTTTCGCCACCCACCACTGTTCGCGATCTGTTCATAGGCTTCTTATCAGCCTGCGCTTAAGCTGACTCCGCTCTTTGTCATGTTCAGAGCCGGATGGTTCACCCTACTAGCAGATATCACTGCTGTTTCCACAGCTTTTGTGATATCATCCCACGCTGCATCGGGATGGGCATCACTTACATGGCTGCCTAACTGTTTTCCTAGTTGTTCCTGAAATATACTCTTAGCTTGACTATCATTAAGTAGGGCCCTAAAAGGTTTACTTGCAGCGTCTTTCCTACGTCCAGTAAGACGCAGACAGATACGCGCTCGTACTAGAGCATGATCTGAATCTAAGCATGTGCTCCAGAATGAGCGACAGTCTTCTATCGAGCCCCTCCATCGGTGGCTGATAGCGATGTGATCTAGTTGGGTTCAACGTTGGGATGAATTAGGGGGTCGCCGTGTTAAAAGATGTCTTTCCTTATGCTTGAAGTTAGTATTTGCTAGAAACAGGCGGTTATCTGAGTATAGCTGCAACAGACGGTCGCCATTGCTGTCTTGTGAGCCACGACACTCATATTTTACATCATCTGAGCTGCAGTCAGTGGGAGGGTAGGCAGAGACGACGAAGAGGCAATGACGAGTGTCCCTATCTTCCCGAGTCCTTATTGTTCCGTTTAGTCGGACAGCGCACAAACGGTTGTCTACTGGGATCCACTCTAAGAGAGCTAGTTCTGCCCTAGGACTCAATGCTATAGCTACGCCGGCGAGGCCACGGGAAGCAGAATCAGGGCTTCCAGATACACGAAGCGTAAATCGAGTCATAGTGAGGTCGAATGAATGGCGCTACTCGGATCCTGTAGGCGTGTTTCGGAGACGCAGCACACATCGATGGCGCGAGATTCTAAAGGAAGCCTGCTGTCCTATTTGGCACAGTGTTCGGACGTTAAAAGCTCCTACGTGTAGTTTAAAGCGTGGTTTCAGGAGACCAGGAATAGCGTTCCGCGTGCTCGAATCGTTTGCATTAGCGACGCGAGGTAATAAAGGGACGTGAGAAGGATTAGTCGTGAAGATAAGAGTTATTAGGAGGTGTAGGAAGGATTTGAATGTGACCAACTTGGTCTCGTGTGCTGTTACAGGTATGAGGGCTGATGTCACTTCCCGGCTGCCCACATCGTGAAAGGATATTTCTTGAGGAATCTGAAAAGGAAGTTGGATTAATGTTGGCCTTAACAATCTGGGAGCGTGACTGCAGAGCCAAAGGGACAACTGTTTGAGGCCGGTCGCACGGCCTTTTTGTGGGAGGTTTTAACGTGTTAGCTCCGTTCTTCAAAGTGCCTTACCGCCGGAGACAGAAATCCGTGAGGCAAGGTGAGGCGTGACATTTTTGGGGTCGACCTTTACTAACTCCTTCCTTCCTTGTGAGAACACGGCATCACTGTAGATGATGGTTGTCAAAGGGGAACACATTACTGCTGTCACACCCCTCTACAGTCAGCAGTATGACTTCGCCCTCCGATTTTGAGTGGCTACTTCTAGTCTTACCGTTCTCCAATCGACTTGTCTGGCAAGGTAGAACCTACAGAAACATATGTTCCAGCCAATATAGCTCGATTGGGTCATCACGATAGGCAAGCCCGACCACCACGCCAAGGTAGAAGCTACGGTCAGGACATTTGTCTACGAAAGAAAGGAGGATATGACTTGTTTATTGAATAAACCTAACACACTAAACTCAAATCAGTCTGTCATATGGAAAGAGGAACAACCAGCTTCCTTTCTTTGACACACTTATAAGTAGAAGAGAAACTCGTTCAATAAAACAATCCATTTTTAGAAAGTTAGACTGGACAGGCCAGTACCTTAGTTATAATAGTTATATATATATATATATGCAGAAGTATTGCAATAACTGCACAAAACGCACACTCACATTGAGCTTCGGTCTTCCAAATAAAAACGGCTGACCTATTAGTTTGGTAGACTGACAAATATCTGCACAAGCTATATCATCAGGCGAACAAAATTTACACTGATCCAATGATGAATAATCAGCTTGTGAAAAATTAACTCCATTTATATAATGTTGAATTCCTGCTAACCAATCAGGCCACATACGTTTTAGCCGTGTAGTCATAAACGATTTCGATAATAAATGATTTTTAGCTAAGGATAATATGCCAAGCAAACCATTAAGATCTCGAGTTATCTAAGAAAAAGTATATACAAAATAAATAGCCGTTATAAAAACAATCAACAGGGCGAGACTATAATTTATGGACGAACCAATCAAATTTAGGATAACGGGTCTCGGATTTCAAAGCAAAATTCATTTACCATTTGTCCAAATAACGTTTTGGCATTATTTCTAACTCTAGCCATCAATTGTAAATCATGATCCTTATTCTTCAAATTGTTTTATAACCCACATTTAGCACTAATAAATAGGTGAACATTCTAAGAGTCACTTTAGCGTCGCTCAAAGGTCGTCCATAAATTATAGTCTCACCGATACGAGTCAATCAAGATTGGTGTGGAATTTTACAAAATAAACAATCATTCTTTTTCTGCCTATTTGAAATTAATAAACTATGCAAAATAGTAATAATGTTCAAACTATTTTGAAGTATTATCAACCATATTTGAAGTTTTCGTCTTTGTTTTCATCAATTCGAGACACTTATTTCAAGGCAGAAATTAACAATAGGTTTTACAAAAGATTGTTTAGTAGAAAGCTCATCAAACATATTCAAAGTATCACATTAAGCGAGATGTATAAGTCTGTGTGACACAAGACCTTTATGTCTGTAAACATCCAGCTTCACAAAAAATACAACTTCATGACCTCAAATCAAGAATCCTCACTAAGTGTCATCAATATTTCCAGATCAACTTGATAAAATGTCATAGATATAGATGAAAACTGAATACTTAAAACTATATCACATCAAATGCAGGTATAGATGACATAATTCGATGAATGCACAACTGGCAGTTACAACTTTCAATTTGGCATAAATCTATGCTTTATGCACATACCATGCCTAATCAACAAGTTGTGCTTATATGTGTTCAGGAACAAAGCTTGACCTTAATAATAATATTTAATTTTTTATCAATGACCATATATATATATATATATATATATATATATATATATATATATATATATATATATATAATTTAAGTAACTAATTTGCATATATTTGTATTCCTTTTATCATAAGCTTTTATTTGACCTATTGGTTACTGTTATACGACTTACTATTCTTAATATAATGGGGATTTTTCGGAGATTTTAAGTCACTCCCAATTTATCGGTTACAGCCTTTCACAATCACGGCCACTTCTTGACTTGATCCTGTAAAATTGTTATTTTCCAATTTTATGGTATGATGTGGTCTTATTCACTTGTATATAAACCAAGTATATCTGAAATATATGATTTGTATGGTGGAAGCTGATATCGGTGTTCTGGTATCAACAGACAGGACTAGACGAGAAGGACCAAAAAAGACTCTAGACTGATCATACCGGTCGATATGTCATTGGGTTGGGACAGTACTAGGATTGTATAAGTCGTGTTTCGATTGGTGATCTTATCACGTAAGAATTGACAGGCCATAAGCCATAAAAATTGGCGACAGGGTTTTTGCAAAAAAAGAAAGCCATAACACCATAAACTTGTGTAATTATCATTGCCTGCAAAAATTGAAGATGGTGGATATGATATCAGTAGTAAGACGAACAAATATTTGTCGTAATGAAAGAAATGCTCTATAACGACTCGGAATTTCTAAATAGTAGCGATTAGCTGAGAATAATTAATGTTTTACAGTACATAAAAGACTAGGATTATACCATATAATCGTGTAGCTTAGAACATAGCCTGATTTCCTGTTGGTGAAAGAGCTAATGTCATCAATACAGCTTTATGAAGACATGACATGATTTTACTGAATAAAAGTATCTACAAACACACCCAACTGTGAAAACAATGGATTTATTGGTTCATTAACAATAGTCACAGAAATAATAATACATCTATATGTACACTATTCATACCTGAGCTTCACTATGACGTTTCAGAAATTTTCTGCTATCCAATCGTGGACAGAAACTTTCAACCTATTTCGAAAAGAAAGGAGGTATAAGAGATTAGACGAAAAAACCCTTAGAAACTCAAAAGTGATGATTGAAAATGAAACATTTCAATTCAAAAACAATGAGAAATCTAACTGCTTTCGAATTCTTCTTAACGTTTTAAAAAATAGATATCAAATGGATAGAATACCAGTAAATTAGTCCCTGCAAAAATATGTTTTTATAACTGAAACACTATAGTCTATGTTAATGATATACGAAAAGTCTTGATAATAAATTTTAAGACAATCCCATTTTGAAGCAAACTTGGATAGTACCTAGCAACAGAATCCAAGATACGTGCTTCGTTTTACTTGGAATTGACCAGTTACAGTAATTAACACCAACAACGGAAAGACTCAAACAACTTACAAATGAAATAACCAGTCGGAAATATAATTGCTAAAATTAAGCAGATAAAACAATGAACAGTTCAGATTTATTATTGAATCGTCTGACTTTAATTTACAGAGTTACAGGAACTTGATTATTTCATTCAGTTAAACCTTAATTCGTGGCTTATTTAGACGACAGGTACTGGCAAAAAAAGTCCTAAGCGAAATATTTTCCATTTATCCAAAGCGTTATATATATATATATATATATATATATATATGTTAGATCACCATTGAAAACCTGGAAGTACTGGACAGCCATTTCCTCGCAGTATGGGACTCCTCAGCAGTGTGCATCCACGACCCCGTACCAAAAAACACCAAACCCAGGACCTTCGGTTTCGCGTGCACACACCTAAACTCTAGACCACTGAGCCGACGTCCAGCGATGTTAGTGTCTAACCTCAATGGTGGCCGTGGATGCGCACTGCTGTGGAGTCACATACTGAGACAAAACGATCGTCCAGTGCTTCCGGTTTTTCAATGGTGATCTAACATTGATCGGTTTATGGTTTCAATGAAACAACAAACTCTACAACCACATACTGATAATATATATATATACTCTTCCAAATAATTTGTATGTTGAATTTACATCTATTTGCTTGTCGACTGACATTTACCTTGAAAAGTGATTCCAGATTATTTTTACGTTTTACAAAAACTCAACAGTAACAAACACATAACTCATATTTTTTAGAGGATTTATGTTCAGTAGGTGGTGCTAAACTAATCTTGGAGTTATTTTCTTATAAATTTCCGGCACAAACATATGCAGGGGATTTTTAGTGTTTAGAATAACATGCTATCCAGAGCACAATAATCAAGTGTATGTGATACCATTTACTAGTGCAATCCTATTAGAACAGAAATAAAGTGTAAAATCGAATGAAAAACTTTAAGTTTCCAAAATGACAACATCACCATATACACTCATAAATAATAAAGGTGATGAATTACAGACATTTTAAGATATACCGACAGTAGAAGATAGATGAGATATACGGGACTATTAAATACAAGTATTATTCACTAAAAAATACCCAACAGGATCCATGTATAAATTAACTCAAGTAAAACAAAGATAAAATATAGAAGTCTAATGCAAATATTAGGTACGATATGTTTTATTATTAAATTACATAGCTTTAAACACTAAGATCAAAGTTATATGGGAAAAAACCTGATAATAGAATATGAAAAAGATAAGAGATTATTTATACAGTTAAAAGAGACGTGCAAAACTAGATGCATTTAAGAACTCAAATATTCAATAAATTATTAATTGCTACCGAATGTTTTGTTTATGGAAAAAAAGCTGAAATAATTATCAACAGTTCGAACTTGGTATATTCTTGTTTCCATATCAACAGGTTTTCAACAAGTAATTCGGTCCAAGACTAAAAAATATTCCTGGTGGAAAGCCGATTCACAAACTATGCCAAACTTTGATGTGAATTGTTATAAAGAGACTAGATACACCGATCAGCTGTAACAGAAATGCATGAGGCAAAGTGAGATGCATTATTTTTAAAGTAGACCTTAACCAACCCCTTCCTTTCATCGTAGGAAGGCAGTATTACTGAAGATGCTGATTGATTGAAGTCAACACCTTACTGTTGTAACACTCCAGTACAGTCAAAGTACAAATTTGAGTCATATTGTATTCCAACCGACCTGCCTAGAACTGTAGAACCTAAAGGAATAAATGTTCTAGCTAATATAACTCACCCAGAGGTCTTTATAACAGGCAAGTCCGGCCACTATATCAAGCAGCAGCTACGACCCGAGCGATTTCGATAACACATTATAACCAATTAAAGTATTGTTAATGTATTCTTTGGAAAAACTCACAATCATGTAAATAAAAGTGACAACAGTAACAGTTGCTCAAGCTTTCAGGGCAATCACTGATTACTTACAACTTTATCAGGAACTATAATCGTCATGAAACAAAACTTTATCACAGATATTTTCAGATAGTATTTTTTCACAAAATAAAATTGAATGAAGCATCACTTAGTAATTGTTCCGTCCTGGCTTGGGAACCATCCGTCATGTCCACCAATCCTGACTCTAAAAGGAGTCGAACACACCTAACCTCACGGAGATCACATTACTTTTAAGCAGTTGAGTTAAAATCTAGTAGTCCGAATTTCTAACTCCCATCAATTATTGATATGGTATTATGATTATTCAATATCATCAGTGATACTTTCGACATACCCACTCTATAGTTCAACTCTATCAATTATGATTTCCCACTAGGATGTCTAGAGTTTATTATGAAGTTAGTTATTAATGAGTAAATGATTACTGTTTAGTTGGTTGGCTGTTGAAAATAGTCCGGATGATTGTAGACATTGTTGAGACAAACTATCACAGGCTCTGATCAACCCTAAATTTAAATACATCGGTTAGTCTATTTTCGACTAATTAGCCCTAGTAGACAAATCAAGATGCTTGGAAATTCTCATGTAAATTTGATGATAACTCTAACGCTTTTACGGATTTTTTGTTGGAGTGAACATATGGTTTGCTCTCAATTCACTTTTGGAAGAATTAAGCGAAGTACGGCGTTAAGACAAATTTTGTAAAAAATAAATCCATGCTCTTTAAATTCAGAGACAAAATTATTCAATATAACACTTACTTCACTAAGATACCGGATAAGTGAACATTCTGATCCATCGATTCCTAACTCAACATAACATGAATGAGTTCCCCAACGGGTTCGCAACCACTAGCAAAGCAGAATGAAAATAGTATCCATTTAATCATTTATTTTTTTGGAGAATATCATCTTATTAATGGGTAACTGAACTTTGATGAGTTAGAGACAACCAATAAAAAACTCTCAAACTGGGGTTGGTTTGCAAATATCAACAACCAATTAGATCTTCGCTCCGAGCCACCACTTAGTCAGGTGACAAAATTGTAACTTGATCAGTAAAATATGATTAGTACAAACAACCACATAAAATGAAAATGGTAAACAATCAACGATTGACTAGTGTATATGAGTGAACATGAAGGTTTTGTTGAATTCGTTAGATTGCTTGTATCAAAAAGAAATACAACTACAAGGTTAACAATAAGAGTACAAATTGCTGTTCCAAGTGAATAAAACGTGACTAACTGTTGAATGTTAGTTGTGAGGCGTTTAATCGAATAATGAATGGAGAGACATATAGTATGATAGGTGATATATTAGACCAAAACATAACCTTAGAGATTATTTCAAATCAACGGCCACCAATTTCTGAAAATGTTGCTATATTTTCTAGGGGAAAAAGATATACATTTATGAATGAGTCGATCTAGATTTAGTCAATAAAGCTTCCTCTTCGCTCAAGTGGCTGGTTTGAACTTATATCAGTAGTAGGCTAGAACGGCTGCAAAACATAACAATGAGAAAATCAGACTTGTTATTAGTTAGAAAATACACTGGTTTTTGACTGATAAGAGGTCGATTACACAAGACAATGGACTAGATGCAGCAGTGAAACTCCTAAACTTCGTACAGGCAATGAATCAAATGTAAACGATGAACACACTAACCAGTTGTAGAAACTTTAATAATAATAATAAATGTTTAAAATGACTACAGAATGTACGCCAATTTACAGACATAATCGGGCTGATGCAAAACGAGAGTCGTAATAAAATTATTTTGACAGAATATCTGTGATAGAGTTGTGAATAACGTAAAGCATAAAATTTATAGAAAAGTGCATAATCACAAGTGATTTCACTTTAATGTACAGTATTATTGACGACACACACCGTCCCAAGTATTAAAAGGATATAGTTGTCACTAATAAGCATTCTATGGTAAATAGTCACATGTACTAAGATAGAATATCTACAATGTTATAGGGGTTTTAGAATAGCGTATGTCATATATTTTTTTCACGAAAGGTACACTTAGCATTTTATTCGCTAGAGTCCAGCTCGAATTTCTGAACTACTTTAGCATTCGACATTGAATTGAAGCCTTTGTAACTGTTATTGGGCAACGATTTATCGTGAGATGGTATAGTATGTTTGATTTTCTGAAGAGAACCGAATTTGATGAAGCAACACAATTACCAGTAAAAAGGTCCAACCACGTTATTGAATTCTATTCATGATTGTAATAGATTTATCGATACTTGATATTCTTAAAAAGCTGTCATATTTGTTTATGAAACCAGAGAATAAATTAGCTTTTCGGGCCAAGTCTTTCTTTTTAATAAAAAGACTGAAACGTCAACGTTATTAAAAGATAAAATCAAAAGAGTTGTTCAAGACTCAATTTATTTGTTGAAGTTCAATGTACAAACTAATGGGATATAATGCCCAATAAATCATTCTATAGATTCGTACAACTGTTTTATCTATCGAACATAACGAAATTCACCAAAACGAACATAAAGCCTAGTGTGAAAACAAACTTTATTACAAAGCAAAAGTTTCCCATCATCTTTCAACTGAAATGTTAAAATATCAACACACTAAAACGTAGATTTAATGAAGATTTGTAGTGAAATGTTGTTATATCCGAACGAAGAATAAATGAATTACAACTTCTAGAAATTATTTATGGACTACTATTACATATATTCTGATTGGGTAATTATTAAGTACCTAGATTATATATATATATATATACCTCTTATCATAAGCTTCCATTTGCCTTATTGATCACGGTTATACGATTTACTATTCTTAACTTATTCCCAATTTATCAGTTACAGTAGCCCACACACATAGTCACTTTTGACCTGATCTTGTATAATAAATATCTTTCATTTTATCGTGCGATGAGGTATAAACTGCTTGTATATAAACCAAGTATGTCTGAAATATAAGATTCATATAGCGGAGGTTGATATTTGCGTTCCGGACTGGATGGGCTGGATTAGGCGAGAAGCTACTATACAGAGGACTAATAAGGACTCCGAGTTGACTCAAGGCAGCTCGTGCTGATTAACACATTATTGATTTAGCACAAAGACAAGGTCATCTTAGTCGGTGTTCTGACTGACGATCTTGTTACATGATATTTGGTGGACCATAGGACATAACAAATGTAAATTAATGAACCAAAAGAAACATTTTGAGAATGGAAGATATGAGATAAGCTACATTATCAATCATTACCAATTAAATACTTAACAACACAAAAGCAAACAAGAAAACAATCACCGTTTTTTTCCAAATTTATCTTTAGTTTATTAGAGATATGAAAAAAATTATTATATGAAAAGTATTTATGTTTGTGAAACTCAATCTTTAAGAGAATACAGTAACACCACTTATCAAAGAATAACAATCTGAAGAATCCAATCTTAGCAGTAGACAAGCATAAACATCCTTAACCTTCAAACTCCTAAGCAAGTCTTTTTTAAAATAATTCTGTTGCTGGCCTTGATGTCACGTTTATGACTACTGAGCTCGAGGTTAAACTTACCCGTCCCAACCCCGCTTTACCCTAGGCAGGCGTGTTATGTCTTGAGGACCCCCGATGAATATCACGTGACAAGTCACTAAATAGAATCCTGATTCTAGTTCGGTCTATTTCGCGCCTAGTATCTCTGACTTGACCAATTGAATACCCACTCAGCACCATTAAACTCGGGTCAATAGCTAAGTTCCTATTAGTCCATTATTGACAAGTCTCTATTTATGCCTTATCCATGAGTCGAAAAATCAGTGACCGGTAAGTGAAATATATATACACATAGTAATCTAGTTACAACAAAATTATAATTAGTAATAATCCAAAAAAACAAGTTCAAACTTCTGCAGTATTTGTTTTGTTATAACGAACCGGATAACTGATAATATAAAATTTTACTTACTACCATGTTTTATTACTTCAAATTGTAAAACTATAAACAACTTGAATTATTTCATTAAAATGAAACATATTTACAAAACTTACTTCAATCTTTGAAAAACATTCCGGGTATAGTGGTAGTTCTCTAGCTTGAACAACACAGTTTTCTTGTGCATCTTGTAGAAGATCTGAAAAATCAAAGCAATGAGTAAACAAACATAACACAAAATAAACTTTGGAAAACTACAGACTATACATTTTTTATACAGACCGAAAAAAAATCAGTTACATTAAACTCTTACTGAACTCCTTTAAGACAAATAAACCACTGAGTAATAGCGATCATTTCATGGATATCGACTTGGAGGTTCGCACTTCCCTATATGGCACGGGGCAAGTAGCCGTTGATATTATGAACTGTTATATCTTACACTGTCTATTTCAGCCTAGCATGTCTCATGTTCTTTAATTAGAGTAGAAATTTATGCATCAGTGATTCATTTTCTTTTTAAAAATATGGGTAAAAAATTAGTTATCGCTCATTCATTGTTCAGAATGGTTTATGTTCCCACCGGGAAGTATGTTTAGAGCAGCGTTCCTACAGTTGAAGAAAAAATGGAACTTAAAACAACTGCCAACCAATATCAGTGTCAGAATCTTCAATATGAATATCAAAACAGTTTTACTGTACGGAGCTGAAACTTGGAGAACTACTACAGCTATCACCAAAAAAGTACAAGTATTTCTAAACAGTTGTCTATACAAGATACTCAATGTCCGTTAGCCGGATACCATCAGCAACAGTCTGCCGTAGAAGAGAACAAACTAACTTCTAGCTGAGGGGGAAATTAGGAAAATATGCTGCAAGTAGATAGGATATACATTTCGGAAATCATCAAACTGCATCACGAGGCAAGCCCTAACTTGGAGTCCTGAAGGGAAGTGGAAAAGAGAAAGATTAAAGAACATAATGAGTCGAGAATTGGAAGCAGACATGAAAAGGATGAGTAGGAAATGGAAGGGACTGTCCAGGACAGTGTTGGATGGAGTGTTAGTGGGCGGCCTATGTTCCTCCGTGAGGAGTAACAGGAAATATGTTTATTTAGTAGACATATCACAAATTGTAATATAGGTTTAGGTATCATACAAAGTAAAAACAAACTCATAAAGTAATCAAGAGAGCTTACCCAAATAGTTAATCTTTTTGTAGTTTGATTTCTCATTATTATTCATTTTCAAACCTCGAGCAGTATGAGGTACAAATGGTGCCGAGTTTATAGATTCGGAATAATGTCTAGTTACTTCAGGAGATGAGTTCGTTAAATTAGAGAGTTTTGATTCTATCTGGTCAATACGACGTAGCACGTCGTCTAGAATAACGGCCAATGTTTTCTTTAAGTCTGAAAACAGGGAGAAAAATATAAGTGGCCCAAAGATCAAATGAAACTAATCACTTATTAAATTTAGTCAATTTAAAAAAAGGTACAAAATATCTTTACATTTGAAGTAAACGTCAACGTACAACCACTGAAATCGAAAGGAATACAAAGTAACTGTCCTTTAGAATTCAACTATTTCATTGATACAACCTTATATTCGGAATTGTCGTGATCTCTCAGCTATAAATATTTTCCATTGCTTTATAGCTGAATACAAACTCGTGTACTGTTTGCAGAACCACAACCTAATATTTGAAGACTAGTGTAACTACACACTGGGATCAATTTTAAAACAACCAATCAAATCTTAATTATTAATTTCATGGATCTCCATAAATTAAGCATTAACAGTGAGAAAGTTAACTAACCGTCAACCAGTGAAAGTGATTCGTGATAATTTGGAAAATTATAAGCAAGTCTTACAGTTATTACTGACCTTTTCCAGATCAAATTGGATTTCATTTGATTAGAAAGAGTGGTTATACTTTCTACTGAAAACTAAATGGCGTACAAGAGATGTAGAATGTTGCAGAGGAACTTTCATTTGACTAAATTTGAGTCTATCATAAAATTGAGGAAAAACAAGCACATTAAGTAAATTCTTTTCACTTGTCTTCTTCCATGATCTGTAATGTTAATTCTAAGTAACTGTTTCCCTTTAGAAAGAATCCGATACACAGCTCATAAAATTATTGAGAAAAATAAAATACCTAGGATTCAGATAACGAATTTACACTGAACGTACAGTAGATTCAAAGTGTTCTGACTGATGGCAGCGGTTTGGTAATACTCTTTCACTTTGAAAGGAATACTAGAAGAGAGTTATCGATTTCTCTACCGTATTGATGACGCAAATTTTCTATAACATACAAGGTTTATCATCTCTTAACAGGTGGAAGAAAGAATGATAGTGTGAATAGTATCCGAAAATTTTACAAGGAAGTTTTTATATATGGGAAACTTAAATCCACGGAATACTATTACATACACATCAGATATTATGATTTGGTGATGATATATGTCAAATAATGATGATTCTAATATGAAAACCTATTAAATGTATTACGAACATGAATTTATTGGATTAACGATTAAATTAATAAAAGAACAATTTACTGACTTGACAGTAAAGTACATACCATATCCCGTCAACTCTGCGCTGTAAGGATCATCAAAACCCACATTCTGAGTTTCGGCCAAAGCTTTGACATACTTTCGGGAGAGGTTAATAATATCAGCCTATAAAATATCAAAGCATATGTCAATCTTTTTTACAATATAATCAATCAAAAATATACGTAAATTTTTGTATGTTGTTACTTTCTATTGATAAACATATGGTGAGAATTATATTCTAAAATCAAAAGAACACTGTTTAAAAGCTCGCCCACAACTTCAAGCAAGATTAAACAGTAAGTAGGATAGTATACATCAATGAACAATACATTTTCAGCAAGAACATTAGAGATGTCTACAGAAATCTGTCTTCCGTTTCCCTCTTCTTGAGTACGCGGTCACAGATGTAACTTTTTGGCATATTTAATCTCTGAAACTAATTTGACTATCAGATATACTTCTACATAGATAATAGTCGATTAGGATGAAATCCAACCAACTAAACTTTTTTGTCTCCTATATGTGAAAAACTGGTCTTCTATTAGCTGAGCCATTATTAATTATTAACTGATTTTGGGGTGTCCATAACATAAGAAGTCAGTTTTATACCACAGACGCGCAATATAAATTTAGTAAAAATGACATCTAGCAAGTACAAGTAAAATATTAATGGTGAATGGATATAGCGTGCTAGAATAAGACCTAGAATCTAAACCTTTGTTTGCTGAAGAATAAGAGAGCTATAAAATTGATTTTTACTGAAATCAAGAACCAATCCAAGTTAAGCCACCATTGAAAACCTGAAAACACTGGACGGCCATTTCCTCTCAGGATGGGACTTCTCAGCAGTGTACATCCATGACCCCGTACCAAAAGGCATCGAACACAGGACCTTCGGTTCCGGGGGCAAAAGCTTAACATCAAGATCATTGGGCTGGTATTCAACAATTTTAATGTCTCACTTCAATTAATCCACGATATTACGTGACCTTCCGTTGTCTTCGGTAGGTAACTGCCCCACACGCAACACCTTTGAACTTCACTAGTCATTGAAACTCAAAAAATTTCACAGATCTACACCGAAAATTGATTTTTGGCAATGGTTTGTGTCCCCAAATGCCCTGGTATGACCGAGAGCGGGGTTGGTCTGCCCTCCCTCTCGAAATACTCTCGCATGGCCACGCATATACAGCCTCTGCCAGGGAAGTCCTACTCATTGCCTTCTCGTGGCGGGGGTGTTGTTTACGAAAATGAGAGGACGAAAAGCGAATGTCCGGCGCTCTAACCAGATCCCAAACCAATGGTGCACATAGGCTCCAGTATCCTGAGGGAACAAATGGCGTATGAACCAATTATTGGTCACCGGCTTCCATGGGACTTCATCTCCTTACGATGCTCCACTGCCTTGTGGGTTAGACCTTTAGGTCAAAGGCTCGGGGTGTGGACCCCCAAGTAAACCACCTGCTTCGATCTGGGCACCCGGGCAGTATCACAGCCCACACGCAAATGATGAACTCTCTATATCTATGGGAACTACTTTTCTCGCTTCGAATAACAAACAAATGATTCAAATTATTGTCATTACTATTATTATTACCATTATTATTGTTATTACTCTTATCATTAATTATTATTATTATTATTATCATTATTATTTACTACGACATTATTCACCCTCTTTTATTCCTACTCTGTCTATACTTATTTTTTCGACTTATACAGCAGCTCGTCTTTGGTGGAAATTCGACTCTATCTAAACATTTTCGAGTCACTGTCCGGTTGAAAATTGTGTGTTACCACCGAATTTGAGTACTGAAGCAGTTTTTCTGAAACCACGTGCACCATTCAAACTGGCTGCTTCAACGTTCGCACACTTATGCAAGTCGGACAACAGATAGGGCTGGCTATGTCTTTGGAAAGTCTTAATATCGATGTCTGCTGTCTATCCGAGACCCGTATTCGAGACTCTGGTGAAGTACTACAAATTTGATCTCCATCTGTCGCTTCGAAAAGCTTGTTTTACGTGCGCTTATCCGGGGACCCTGTGGCACCTTCGTCTGGTCTTGCTGGCGTTCGTGTAGCATTAAGTACTAGAGCTGAGGCAGCACTAGTCGATTGGATCCCCATTAACAGTCGGTTATGTGCTGTTAGATTAGAAAGTTCCATCAAAGTGAGAAGAAATCGGCGTGAGAAACGATGTCTTTTCGTCATCTCCGCCTATGCCCCGACAGATTGCAGCCCGGATGCAATCAAGGATGAGTTTTACCACCAGTTATCAGTTCTTCTCCAGAAAGTGCGTTCGACAGATATTGTAGTACTAGCCGGAGATTTGAATGCTCAGGTCGGGCGTCTAGGCACAGAAGAGGGTGGTTTAGGTGGCCGATGGGGACTCGTTGGTCGCAGGTCAGATAACGGGGACCGTCTACTGCAACTGTGCACAGACCACAACCTGTTTCTGGCTAGCACTAACTTTCGGCACAGTCATCGCCGATGTGCCACCTGGCGTCCTCCCTCTGCATCTCAAGCCTGGACTCAGATTGATCACATCGCGATCAGCTACCGCTGGCGTGGTTGTGTACAAGACTGCCGCTCCTTTTGGAGTACCTATCTGGACTCTGACCATGCCTTGGTCTGCGCCAATCTTGCCTTACTTTTCAGTGGACAACGAAGTGACCACCATCAACGGATTGATGTTAGCAAGCTGGTTGCAACTTCTGTTGCAAGTAAGTATCGAACCGAGCTAGCCTCTAGGCTAGCTACCACTCCACCGAAAAGTATAGATGAGCATTGGTTGCAATTGCATGACGCCATGAAAATGGCGGGAACAGTCAGTTGTGGGTTTGCGAAACGTCCCGCTTATAAGCACTGGGTTTCTTCTGGTTCCTTACAACTCATTGAAGCCCGTCGGTCTACTCCGGGTGACCGTGAGTTTGACCATAAACGAAGGATGTTAGGTGAGGAAATTGGGCAAAGCTTGCGTAAGGACCGAGAAGCCTGGTGGTCGAAGCGTGCTAATGAGCTGGAAGCAGCAGCTGCATCTGGTAACTGCCGGAAGCTCTTCCAGCTCATCCGAGCCACTGGCAGCAAGAAGTCTGGTGTGAGTGAAACAATCTGCGAGGATGATGGGATGCCAATCACTAACATCCATCGACGTCTTGGACGATGGGCAGAATTTTTCGAAGGGCAGTTCAACTGGTCTGCTGCTCCGGCAACATCGGTCAGACTGTCCTGCCCTCCATGGCCGGTGACGACTGATCCACCAAATGAGGAGGAAGTCCGCAAGGAACTCCAACTCTTGAAGCGTTACAAATCACCTGGCCCAGATGACTTACCTCCGGCTCTTTATAAAGATGGTGGTGACTTTTTGACTAAGGAATTGACGACGTTGTTTACAAAGGTTTGGGAACTAGAGAGTGTACCAACGTCATGGAATGAGTCGATAGTTGTCCCTATCTTTATAAACGGTTCTGTTGTAACGGGTGACTGCAGGTTATGATAAGCAGCGTTTATATCGATCGATTCAGTGACACGGAAAACACGTAGTGAACGACCTAGAGCCCCAATTGGTCCCGCTTCCCTGTCTAGCCCAACCAGTTGAGTCTAGAACGCAAGTCACAGCCTCTGAGTTATGAATCATTATATTTCAGACATACTCTATTTATATACTAACCAAACAGACCACATCGTACCATAAAAATAGAAAACAACATGTGTACAATATTTAACGAGTGAAATAAATAATGGCCAATAGGAAATGTTCATGTAACGTCCAAGGACATCATTAGACTTAACATGATAATGATTGGCACATTATTCCTCAACATCCATAACAGGTTGACGTCGTTCCTGTAACAACTATCGGGGGATAAGTCTACTTCTGATTGCGTCCAACCTATTGGCTTCCGTCATACTTCGTAGGTTGTTTAAAACCAGAGAAATATTGATTTGCGAGGAGCAGGCTGGGTCTCGTTCTGGTCGAGGATGTATTGATCATATCTTCAACCTCCGCCAAATGTTAGAACACGGTCATACTTATCAAAGGCCAACAATCTCAGTATTTCTTGACATCAGGGCTGTCTTCGATTCGTTGGACAGGACTGTTCTCTAGGATTGTCTATTGAAGAAGGGTGTGCCTGAGAAGTTTATTAACATCTTAAAGGCCCTATATACAAACACCTCAGGTAGAGTGATGACATACAACCACCTTTCTCCATTGTTCCATTCAAGCATTGGGGTTAGGCAGGGTTGCCCAATCTCACCATTCCTCTTCAACTTTGCCATCGATGACATTCTGGAAACAGCTCTGATGGATGTAAGTAATGGCGGTGTGGATCTGTTGCCTGGAGAAAGACTTCTCGACCTTGAGTATGCGGATGATATTGTCTTACTGTGCGATAATGCCCAAGCCATGCAATTCGCACTTAATCAGTTGGCAATCAATGTCCGTAGGTACGGTACGAGCTTTGCACCTTCGAAGTGCAAAGTACTTCTACAAGACTGGCAGGATTCTAATCCTGTACTCACTCTGGATGGTGAGCAGATAAAAGTAGCCGAGAAGTTCGTATATCTGGATAGATGCATAAGTGCTGGTGGGGGTGTGAGTGATGAGATTAATGCACGTATAGTGAAAGCCAGAGCGGCTTATGCCGATCTGGGCCACCTTTGGCGCCTTCGTGATGTTAGTCTGGCTGTAAAAGGTCGGATTTACAAGGCGTCGGTGAGAGCAGTCTTGCTCTATGCTTGTGAAACCTGGTCTCTCCGAGTTGAGGACGTTAGACGACTCTCTGTGTTCGATCGTCGTTGTCTCCGAAGGATTGCTAACATCCAGTGGAAACACCATGTCAGTAATGCAGAGGTTCGGCAGCGTGTATCCGGGCAGAGAGACGATAATGCAATCGGTGTCACCATCTTGAAACACCGAGTTCGGTGGCTTGGACATGTTCTAAGAATGTCGACCCACAGAATTCCACGTCGTGCATTATTTGCCGACTCTGGGACTAGTTGGAAAAAGCGGAGAGGTGGTCAGTATATGACATGGTGTCGTGGCATGAAAGAAAGCTGCAAAGGACTGGCTTGTGTTGGTCCTTCACGACTGCCTAGCTGGGGTCCGAGAGATGGTGCAACACAGTGACTAGAGACGTTATCAGATATGGCTCAGAATAGAAGCCGGTGGAGATCCTGCTGTAACCTTCCTTTACTTTCTTCATAAAAAAAAGTGGTTGTGTATTCCTTAACTGAAAGATTTCTTCTGATTGTACCTTTCAGTTCCCCCATTTTTACCATAATAATTATTACACTACCTTACATCAATCTCTTCGTTATTATTCTCTCTTTTTTTCTTTTCCTTCCCCTTAAATTCTCATTGTTTTGTGTGGTGCATATATATATTGGCACACTCTTGTACCAATATTTATAAATAAATAATGGTTTGTGACATATCATTATATCACATGTGTGAGTATTTTGTATTTATTTATTTAAACACATAAACATTGATACAAGGGGGCACCAAATACATATGTGCCACACAGTAACAATAAGACCAGTAGCAGTCATCATTGCTTTGTGTGAGCGTTGGAATACTACCGTGGCACCCGAACCAAAACAGGTAGTTTTCTTAGGGAACCACACTCCGACCCTTTGACCTAAAGGTCTAATCCACAAGGCAAAGGAACAACGCTAAGAGGTGCAGTCCCATGGTAGCCAGTGACCAACAATAGGTTCATACGCCATTTGTTCCCTAAGGATTCTAGAGCCCATGTGCACCATCGGTTTGAAATCAGGGTTTTCCAACTCCCCTAGGTGGACCTCCGTGTCCACCAACCCGGTTGGCGCGCTGGATATTCGCTTTGACACATCTCAATTTTGTAGACAATACCCCCTCCGCGAGAAGGCAGTGAATAGGACTTACCTGGCAGTGGCTGTATACGCGAGGTCATGTGGGAGCATTTCGAGGGGGAGAGTGGAATCTCCCCACCCTCGACCGTACCAGGGCATTTGGAGGCATTTTGTATGTAACCACGTTAGCTTACTACAATAACTTATTCTTCTGGCTACTGGTCTTGTCTATGATCACAAATCATTCGAGGGGGGAGACAATTCGGTCTTGTGAGCAGTCATCATCTAACCACGTCACACTTTTTCACATCGTGTTTTGATCAGATGTCTATTCGTTTATTTTAACAATTGCAGCTCTCATTCACTTATTAAATCCTATTTAATAACGCGAATATTTGAGTTAGTGATAATATAAGCACAAAAATGTACACAGAGAGGTGGACCTCCCATTAGATTTTCTAGAAGCTTTATTCCCAACAAATTCAGAAAAGCTAATATAGGCAGATAAATGTGAGCTCTTGTGAAGTCAGTGATTTAAATTTAATGCTCAAAATTAGTAAACGTGAGCATAACTGTTTAAAGGTTCATGTTTATTTAATTGAAATTTAAAAATATTTCTTCGCCTAAATTATTTTGTTCTAAAACGTTGAACAGAAATTTCGATTTAATGAAGACCAACGTCTCTTAAGAAGATTACGTACTTAAGTAATGTTTAAATTAATATAAAAATAGCGATTACACATACACCACTACGAAAAAGCATGTTATCAAAATGACAGTTTCTAGTCTTAGATTCTTGAAACCGATTGGCAATCTAATTTTCTGTTGTTTTACGATCACCTTTTCCTATAATCATCTCAACTAACTTCAAAATCTGTTCTCCATATTTACAGTACTTTGCATCGAATTGTGTGATGACATGCCATAAATTTGGTTCAACCTTAAGAAATTTCGGAGTGATATATATATAATTATATATATATAATACGCTACACAGGTTTAGTAATGTTTTTGGCATAGTTTCCGATGTTGAGTTGGAGTGATTCTGTGATCTAAATACTTTGGTTTCCATAATAAACTATAGCGAAGTTTCGATTGGTATTTTTACTATAATTACAGATTGTAAGCATTTTATTCTGAGTGTTTAGTTTATGAAACTGAAAGTGAATGCTCATACATAAAACAGTAAACTCCATGACGAGGAACCAATATACACTAGAGGGTAAAACAGTTTCTTTTATTGAAGTTTATGAGTCCTGAAAATTCAGCTTTCTGAGTTATAGCTAAATTTTTCTTAGGATTACATTCTAACTAGAATTACTCGCTTTTCTCGTGGCTTCAGTTTCCGCGATCAAACGTTGCGCTGTTAAGTCCTGATCCCAAAGTAGAGTTCCTTGTGAGTTAAGAGCTACTGTATGAATCTCTATAATAAGACTAGGGTAACAACACACTCCCCTTTTCGAGATGTATTTGGTGACCCCTAAGTATATTGTACAAATGACGATAATTCTTTACCTTCCAACGATTTTGATTTTATCCTAGGTATCACGAGCCATGTTTTCATTAAATCGAGTGTCTTAAATGTTTCAAAGTTGGTGTACTTTCTTGATTGGCCACTTCAGTAACTAAGTATAGGTTTATGTAATAAGAATTGAACTATAATAATTTCTAGGACTAGAAATAATACATGACTGTTCGTGACAAAGATGAAATAGAAAGGGGTCATATCATTTAAAAAACAACCGTTGAGCCACAGTTCTCCATGAAAATCTTATAGAGCTAGTATACACAGTTATTTTAGTCCGCCAATAATATGATAAATTCAACACAATCCTCAAGTTTCAAAACATACTTAATACAACACAAATAAAACGTACCCGATATTGTACAATAGATTGATTACCGTTATGTACCACCCAACATACTCCAAATAGAATAACGAGAAAGAAAAAGATGCACAGAACTCGAGCTTTTTTTAAATACCGTTTCATCGATTAACTGTAAAATAAAATCGGTTTTCCATAATGGAATAAAAAGGCTGTAGGCTCATAGCTGTAACTTGTGAACAGAAAGCATATTAAAGTCACAGAATGAGTATGAAAAATATATCCTTACCTAACTAATTCACAAAGATGTTAACACATAGGAAATTAATCGTACAGACATAGTTACAGCTAAACGCATCGATGATGCATGTTAACCTTCACGCCATAGCGATAGTGAATGCATGTAATCTACTGGATTTATATGAGGTGAGTCCATTTACTAAAAAATCGCCGGCTAAATATCATAAGACAATGCGTGACTATTTATTACTCTCAGGAAAAAATAAAAAATAATTTAACAAAATACGGCCAACGGTCTACTGGGTATATGACTATTAGGAAACACAAATCAAAAGTCATTGAGTTTTTTTTCAGTTAAATATCAGACTAGATTCTTAAACGCCAAGTTATTGAACTAGTATGATTTGAGACACTAAAGAGGAAGAATGTAATTGTATGCTTTCATTATTAAAAGACAGTGTTGTTAAACAAGCTCTGAAGAAACTCACAAAAAGGACAAACGTTTTACCAAAATTTTAATGGTCGAATGTTCAACTTTGAAACAGTTTTTTTTTTATAAAAATGTGTTAAAACTTAAATGTTAGACCCTTGGAGACATTAGTTGTTGACTGATTGCCCAAAGTGGCCTATGTTTCATTCCACAGTTAAACGTAGAATTTTATTTGTGCACTATTCAATCACTTTATTTATTTGCTTTATTTGAACACAAACATTGGTACAAGCGAAACACCAAATACATATGCGCCACACAATAACAATAAGGTTAAGATACAGAGAAAGTGCGTATAATTAAAAAAAACGACGAACAGAAATTAATGTATGAGTGAAACTATTAATAATAATAATAATAATAATAATAATAATAATAATAATAATAATAATAACAATAATAATAATAATCGTAATAATAATAATAATAGTGAAAGAGTTTAATTAGCAAAAATAACCAGGAAGAATCCTTTCAAATAAAGAAGATACGTTGATTTTTTATGAAGAAACAAGTTACAGCAGGATCGTCACTGGATTATATTCTGAGTCACACCTGATAACGTCTTAAGCCACTGTGTTGCACCATCGTCGTGCCCGAACACATGACGCCGGACCTCTGCACTACTAACATGTTGTTGCCACTGGATGCCAGCGATCATTCGAAGACAACAATGATCAAACACAGATATTCGTCTGACATCCTCAATTCAGAGAGGCCAGGTTTCACAAGCATGGAGCATGAGTGCTCTCACCGACGCGTTGTAGATCCGACCTTTTGTAGCCAGACTATACATTATTTATTTATTATTTTAACACATAGATATTAGTACAAGGAGGCACCAAATACATATGTGCCACACGGATCTCACTCGATGTGTGAGGGATGTGATACTGCCCGGGTGCTCAAACCGAAGCAGGTGGTTTCCTTAGGGAACCACACTCCGACCCTTTGACCTAAAGGTCTGATCCACAAGGCAAAGGAACAACGCTAGGAGGTGCAGTCCCATGGTAGCCAGTGACCAACAATAGGTTCATACGCCATTTGTTCCCTAAGGATTCTAGAGCCCATGTGCACCATCGGTTTGAAATCAGGGTTTTCCAACTCCCCTAGGTGGACCTCCGTGTCCACCAACCCGGTTGGCGCGCTGGATATTCGCTTTGACACATCTCAATTTTGTAAACAATACCCTCTCCGCGAGAAGGCAGTGAATAGGACTTACCTGGCAGTGGCTGTATACGCGAGGTCCTGTGGGAGCATTTCGAGAGGGAGAGTGGAATCGCCTCACCCCCGACCGTACCAGGGCATTCGATAGCTAGTCATAGACAGAGTAGAGCCTGGTACATAAGTGCATCGACTCAAGGCATCACACCACCACACTGATGACATAGTAGTAAATGTGGTAACAGTATTAATGGTAATAGGAAGTATTAGGCATAGAACATGTGAATTTAGAAAATACAGATTCGTGAAACAGAAAAACATTTTAAAATAATTTACAAACTTAAGATTTAAATGAGCTCAAGAAATGAGTGCACATGTTCCAATGGGAAAGTTTCCATGTTATTTCATCCAAGGTTTCTAACCAATGGTTAAGATGATCATGCGAACCTCAACTGGAGAGTCCGAACCTACCTATGCAGCTCAGTCCAACCTCCATCGACTTCATGGACTGATACCAAGTTTTGGTTTGGTCACCCCTACCTTACACCATCCGTCATCAAGAGTCGAGGTAAGCGGTGTTTGGAGATACGTAATACATGTCCTAATAACTGTGGTCGATAAAAATTCATTACTTTACCTGTCACACTAGTGACGGAACAGAAAACAGATAAATACAAAGTGCGGCCTGGTAATGACTCTTACTTTTAAATTACCACACTATATTAACACGACAAGAAATCAACAGAAAGTAGATAAGAGTGATTAATGGTGCCAATTAGTGTTAGTAATGGCCTTGATTATCTGCAAGTCTAGAAGTTTGTATAAAGGAAAACTTGTTAAGCACTCTGTAGATTACTCAAAATGCTTATACTCGTACATAAACCAAAGGACTAAAAGAAGAGGAAATATTCCAGCATTGTGGACAGTAGTGCTGCATCATCAGCAAAGGACGATCATGGTAAAGCTCAGGTATTCACATATTACTTTAGCAATGTATATACAGTAGAGATGCTCTCCTATTCGGTTCATGCAAAACCCAAACACACTAGACACTGTGACAATCAAAGAACCCGATGTATGTGGTCTGTTAAATGAGCTTGATATAGGAAAATCCATGAAACTTGATAAAATACATCTTAGGTTACCAAAGGAATTAGCCAATTTTGTCGTGATTCCTTGAAGCATATGTTTTAATCTATCTATAACCCAGGGTCGATTACCAAAACAGGTTATTCATGTCTCACTAACTTATTAGTGGCTCGTGAAAGCTGGTGCGCTCTTAAGTACCAAACGTCACTTATAGATGCAGCCTACATTGACTTCAGCAAAGGTTTTGACAGAATTCCTCACAATCGGTTATGTAAGTTAAGAAATGTCAGGGTTGGAGGCAATCTATTGATGTGGACACCAACGAAGAGTACGAGTGAACTCAAAGTCGTCTAGTTGGGAAACTATGCTTAGCTGAGTACTTCAGGGTACAGTTTTGGGACCAGTGTTTTTCCTCCGATATGCAAATGACCTTTCTAGTTTCCTATAATCATTGGTTTTGTTATGTTGATATCAACATATGGAAAGCGATAAAAAGGGCGATAGCTTGGAGCTTCAAAATGATCTAAAGAAATTATCTGAGTAATTTAAAATTTGACAGTCCCCAGTAAATGTTTTCGTGTGCATTATGATGTATATTAGTCAGTTTTTAAATTACTTAGTGATAAATTTGCATCTGATATGCTCTCACTTCACTTGTCTTCAAAAACAGTGTTTACAAGGACACTCTGGAGACGTCCACAAGCACAGAACAAATTAATTGGTAGTTATCGACTTTTTCAACGAATGGGATTCATTACCTCAACACGTCGGGCTCAGTGGTTTATATAGGTCGATGTACCTCCTATCCTTATTACTGAAGACTGGAACACGTAAGTGGAGCTCCATATTTCGACAAGTTGGATTAACTGAGAGACCGCCATTGCTAGGACTAATACAGGCCACCTAGACTCCTGTTATTTTAGAAATGAAATGATCTGAACAGAAAGCTAGATGAAAGTTGATTAGACGTGATGAAAAAGTTGGAAAAAACACTACACTTGGGAACCGAGTGGAAAAATTTTTCCTCATTTGGCGTTTCCCTTCTAGAACTAAGATCTGATGGCCTTAGGTATTTGTTTGAAGGAATAACAACAGATATAAAGTCAAATAATTAATAATTATTAATAATGAGTGGTGAAGAAAAACTAGTTAGTTCAACCCTACACACCCCTGGTTGCCTACATTTAAATCAGAATATTTTTTAACTTCTTGCAATTGTTGACGACCGACAAACAAAAATGTAAACACTCGATCTGATGCGACCCTGAAAATCAATGTGATGATCTTTCAATACTTCGCTTTCCTACTAAGGATCTTCGACTTATTACGGATTTTGAGTTTTTAATACTAAGCGGTATAAAGTAAAATAAAAACGAGGTAAACAATGGACTGACATGTACCTTATCCTTTCAATCTGAATAACCAAACTGTAGCACATAACAACCAATGACGATACGTCCTTGTGATGAAGTTATTGTAAATTGAGAGTTGAAAAGCCTCGATTTTGGTATTGAAATTCAGGTTTCAAATATATTCTATTGCATTTCACCCCGTTTTTTATCATACAAATGTGTGTGAATTAGGTCGAAATAAGATATGTAACGGAAACATCATTAACCACTTCTATGACAACGGTATATACAAAATTCTTATGTTCAAATGGCTCTTGACAGGACTCAAGGTGGCCATATACTGGCATTTCGAATCTTTGATTATCATTTGGGTGTTAATATGCCCCATCGTTTTCCCCCGTCTAGTACTAACAATAACCTTCTACGCGCTCGTTTCAAAAAGGGCAGTGATTTTTGTACTTGTTGTGATTATACTTGCTTTGGGTACTTATTGCACCAAAAAGCATTCTTGGTCTACTTTAACTGAAAGTGCTTTGGTTAAAGTTTGAAATTTTTTGCTAAATTTTGTCCTGAGTACCATTTTTAAGTCTTTGACTAACACCTGTGTTCACTTTGAGATCATTTTGTGTTTTTAAACCTTTTAAATCTAATTACAATGGTTGGTAAGACTCACAAATGTGAGCAACCAAATTGTTTGCTCCCCGTTGAGGAGGGAATGCAGTGTGATGACTGTAAAAAGTGGTACCACAAAATGTGTACACGCCTAAGTCATATGGCATACAAAAGATGCTCGAAGCCTAACTCGCATTGGCTTTGTATGTTCTGCTGTACGGATAAAAAGGTGCTAATTAAGGAGGCTATGGGCCTATTGGCTTTGGCCTGCAAGAAAAACGACGACACATGAGCTGACAACACCGGCATTGACAGTGACGAATGTATCAGTGTAGTATCTGCTGTTACGCGACCTCTCAAACAACCGACTCTGACCGACGGAAAAGTGAGATCTCCTTTAACATTAACAAGGGGAGTAATACCACCTGGTACTGACATTGATAACAATGCATCTTTAGTGGAAACCGACGAACTGGATAAAACCATCACCGTTCCGAATAGCCCCAATGTCCTGAGGGATGAAAAATGGACTACGGTACGTAGGAAACGAAACGAAAGGAAAAAATCTGTAGGCAGTACACAGGTAGTTAGTAACTCACTGATGGATTCTCATTGTGAGTCACAAACTGCACTACCAAAATCTGATGGTAAGAGTGAAACCCATCCTGGCGTGACTGAGAAGAAAAATCGAATAACAGCTAAAACTAATGACTGTTTACTTGATAAGTCCTTGGTGGACTCTCAGACCAATCCGCCAAAGCTCCAAAGTAAAGCTTCGTCTAACACTGTTGTGAGTCATACATAGGACTCTGTTACAATAAAAGCTAATCGTGAGATATCACGGTCAAAAGCTGTTAACACAGTTTCAAAGGAAGCTAAACCCCTTCCCAGTTTAATTTTTGGAATCTAGAGGAGTCGAAAGATAACGACCCTGCTAGAAGACATGCACATGACCTGCAGTTAGTGGAGTCTGTGGTAAGAAATGTACTATCTGAAGAGGTTTTAGGGGTACATATTACAAAAGTAATACGACTTGGTAAATGGGTTGGAGGCGAGACCCAACCAAGAAAAATCCTGAAGCTGGTTCTCGGGAGTTTCGAAGAAAGAGACATACTATTGAAAAACGCACCAAAAACTCGTGACTCAAATATCCGTATTCGACCAGATTGGCCGCTTGAGGATCTAATCAAGTGGAAGAATGCTCTTACGGAGTTGAGAACTCGCAAATTAAATGGCGAAAATAACCTTACCATTAAGAGTTTTCAGGTAGTCAGGTCTTGGAAGCCCATACTTCCGAGGCCTGTATGGGTAGAACGATTGATTTCCAAAACACCTTAAGTGTGTGCTGCACGAACTCTCGTAGTCTTAGAAATAAAACGTCCGAGCTAAGTCTGATGGTGCAAGAGTTATGTCCCTATATAATCGTTGTTACTCAAACTTGGTTCACCGTAGATATAGACTGTTCTCCTTTCATTGCTGGTTATATGTGTATCAGAAGTGATAGGGTTTCAAGTCGCAAGGGGGGAGGTATAATATTATACGTTAGGGATCACTTTCGTATACAAACAACCATATCGGAGGCTCATATCAGTGGCACATGTGAGGTTGCATGTTGTAAGATTAAATCTAGAAATGAGTTAGTGACTATAGGGGGGAAAACCGTAGTCCGCCTTGTCTTGCTGACGACTTTATCCTAAGACACATCTGTTCTTGGAGTATGGCAGAATGTTGTCTCATCATTGGGGACTTCAACGCACCGCATATCAATTGGATAGAGCTTACAGCTCCAGGTAGTGGTTTCGATAGCGACCTTTTATCTACCGTTATTCAGTGTGCACTTGTACAATGTATCACAAAACCGACACATATTGATTTGCAACATGATCCGTCACTGCTGGACCTCGCCCTCACCCACCACTCTGAAGATGTCTTTGATATCCAGCACCTTCCTCCACTAGTGAACAGTGATCACGTTGTAATTCAATTTAAGTTTAGGACACATGGTATACAATTCGTATCTGCTCCACCCCGTCCCAATATCTGGCGAGCCAATATTCCGGCGATCAGAAACTGTGCTATCTCGACTGATTGGTCGGTCGAAGCGGATGGATTGATCGAAGATGAATGGAATAAGTTTAAGGCCACATTCGAGTCCGTAACGTCGCCGTTTATCCCATGGTCAGCACGTAAGCTATCAAATTGCCCTCCATGGATTAATAAGGAAACCCGGAAGCTGTTAAAGCGTAGGAAACATTTCTGGGACTTATTCTTGTTGACAGGTCATGCACCATTTAAGCGTGAGTACCAAAAATTCCGTAATATCTGTAAGAAAATCATAGCGAAATCCCGTACCACTTACGAACGACAGTTAGTATATGATAGCCGTAGTTGTCCGAAACGATTGTTTTCGTATGTTAAACGGCAAATGAAGCGTAGTGATGGTATTCCCCCGTTACTGTTACACGAAAATTCAGAATTACTAGCTGAATCAGATCGAGCAAAAGCTGAGACTTTTTCAAACTATTTTAGCGAAGTCTTCTCTGCGTTTATTCTAACAAATACTTGTCCCAATCACACCGAGATACCAACCATGGAATCTGTACAGGTGACTGAGGAAACTGTCCTTACGTTGATAACTAACCTCAAATTTGGTAAGACACCGGGCCCTGACGAGTTACATCCACGGTTGCTGTCATCTCTTGCGGACATTATTTCCAAACTGCTCGCGAAACTCTTCAACATGTCCCTCTCACTCGCTCAACTCCCTAGAGATTGGAAGGACGCTATAGTCAGTCCTATATTCAAGGACGGTCAGAGACATATAGTATCTAACTGCCTACTTGTTAGTCTAACTAGTATAGTCGTTAAGTTACTTGAAAAGATAATTCGGGTTAGGTTGCTAAGCCACATAGATTTACACAATCTGTTGGCTCCTGAGCAACACGGATTTCGTAACAAGCGTTCATGCTTGACTAACTTGCTTATTGCGAGGGAGGATTGGACAGCAGCCCTAGATCACGGTCTGTCTGTCGACGTGATATTCATAGATTTTAGCAAAGCGTTTGACAAGGTTTCACACGTAGGTCTTATGCAGAAGCCCACGAGCTTCGGAATAATAGGTACTGTACATGCGTGGATAGGAAATTTCTTATGTGACAGCAGACAGAGAGTTAGGGTCAACGGAACGCTATCCGATTGGAAGCCGGTCAAAAGTGGTGTATCCCAAGGCACCATCTTAGGCCCCCTGCTCTTCCTTCTCTACGTTAATGAGTTGCCGCCGTTACTTAGGTCGTCGACATTATTGTTTGTGGATGATGTAAAAATCTGGAGAACAATAAAAAGTGCGGCTGATCATGTGGATCTTCAAGCTGACTTAGACGATTTAGTCAGATGGGCTCGAGAGTGGGGCTTAGAAATCAATGCTAGGAAGAGTGTACTAATGCACGTCGGTCACGGTAATAGTTACCGTTATACTATTGAGGGTAAACCTCTTCCATGCGTTCAAGAGCATAAAGACTTATGAGTAGTGTTAAGTCATGATTTAAAAACAACTACGCAGTGAAAAGCAGCCGCTGTCAAAGGTTTTCGAGCGTTATGGTCACTTCGCCGAGCGTTCAAATCTTTTGACGAGGAAACGTTTCGAATTTTATATCCCACCTATGTAAGACCACACTTAGAGTACTGTATCCAAGCAGCTGGCCCATGTCTGATAAAGGATACTAACTCCCTTGAGCGTGTCCAGCGTGTGGGAACGAAATTAGTGAAGGGTCTTTCTAGACTCCCTTACGATGAGCGTTTAAAACGCCTAAATCTTTTCCCCTTGTCGTATCGTAGGACACGAGGTGACCTTATACTGTTATTTCGTATCTTTAATTACGATTTGGGTGTTAATATGTCTTATCTTTTTGCTCCCTCCAGCACTAATAATCTCCGAGGTCGTAGCAAGAAGGTTCATAAACCAAGATCTAATAAACTTAAAGTGGGGTCCCGTTTTTCTCATCGAGTAGTCAGTGATTGGAACGCCTTACCCGAACAAGTGGTATCAGCCCCATCAGTTAATACTTTCAAGGAGAAGCTGGACCTTCACTGGAAAGCAGTGCGTCAGGATTAATACAGGTTCATCAACCTACTATCCTTATTACTGAAGACTGAAGACTGAATATCCGAGGTCATATAAAGAATTTTCACAAACCGCAATATAATAAACCTGATGTGAGTTTCCGTTTTCTCATCGTGTGGTCAGTGGCTGGAAGGCCTTACCCGAACAAGTGGTACCAGCCCCATCGTTGAATATTTTCAAGGACAATTTGGACCTTCAGTGGAAGGCAAACTGTCAGGATTAACACGGTTCCATCAAACTAGTATCCTCGTTACAGGGAACCGCTATGTTGTGCCTCTAGCTCCTGGGTGTTACCTCTAATGCTTGTATTAGAAAGAAGCTTAAAAGGATGACAAGAAGTGTTTAGGATGTTGTAATTCAAAACAATTAATGGTAAACATTTT